CATCAGAAACCTCCTTGAAATTGATAAATGAATTTCCTTGAACTTCCAGCCTATGAATTACTAAAATTTTAGGGTGACTCATATCTGCAATTTATGCTGCGTCAATTATCTGCTATCTTGTGGAATTTTTTGGTAGGACGTTCAAAGTTGAAGATTTTTAATGTTGTGCATGATATTTCTTGTTACAATCTTGCAATTCTTATATGATCAGAAGCTGTAGAAAGCTGGAGAAAGGAAAAATTGGAAGAAGCAAAGAAGTTGATCACAGAACAAATGATTGAAAATTCAACTCTTTCTTTTGAAGACGCTGGTATGGAATCTTTATTTCAGTGAGACTGGGACCTGGAAACCTCATTGGTTTGGCGCTGATAGTTTACTTGTTGTTTACTCTTCTTTTTCCTCTTCTGGTAGGGATTCTAGTAAAAGCCTTGGAGAATGATTGGACAGCGCTGTCTGAATCAATTGGTCTTTGGATACCTGCAGAGATCTTCAACAAGGAACATGATGATAAGCCTGAGGGTGTAGATGAATTTGGTATACTTTTGCAACTCTATGAGTAACATTCTGTGTACCATATCATCAAATCTTAGTTTATATTTCACTATGGTGTTCATTCCCCATCTCTATGCAGATGATGAAATTCTACCCGGTAGACCAGTTCCACCTGAATGTCATGCTGAGCTCCATACGGATTACGATGGTGCTGCGGTAAGATGGGGTCTAACTCATCATAAAGAAAGTGCAGCTGATTGCTGTCAAGCTTGCTTGGATCATGCGAAACGTGCGCGGCCAGGTGACAGGAAATGCAACATCTGGGTTTACTGTCCATCTGAGTTTGGATGCCACTCACCTGATATTTACGAGCATAAACATATGGAGTGCTGGCTGAAATATGTAACCCCCAGACTGCTTTTGTAGTTGTAAATCTCTTTTGTATATGCTTTCTTGAATCTAACTTGTCTCATCTTCTTCAAATCCAAATGCAGGCAGAAAATCCCAAACTGAATTTCAAGACCAACTATCCGCAATCTTATAGGAACTCACACCCGACTGCGCCGCTGGTTGTCCCTTGGGTCTCTGGTGTTGTTAGTGTTTAATTGTACGATGAATCAGGCAAGCGATTCGCGCTAAAATGTTTATGACTTCACTTGTCTTTCTTACATTTGAGCATCATTGTCCATAGAGTTGCCACGAATGAAAATTTTTGAGGGTTGTTAGGTGTTTAGGGGACTAGCATTTGAATGAGTGAATGTTTGAGTCATATCTTCTTACTCTTATGTAAGATGTAACACGGATTGACGATCCTGGTGCCCATGACTTCAGATTGACAAGTCTGGCGCCGAGATGAGATAGAACTTAGAAGTAACGTGAAAAAGAAAGGCTATTTTGTTGACTGTTAACTTTTGAAATTTATTCATTACGCTCAGGATGTCAGTTTCTGAGCTGAGCTTACCTCTTTCTCTGCCTCTCTCTTGCTGATAATAACCAACTACTTTACTTTTCTTTAAAAAAAATGTGAGTATCTCTCAGCTGTTCAGTTCCGTCCTTACAACATACATATGGTGAATTTGGTTTTGGGATCTCTCAAACGACACTCTTTGTTAAGATTCCATATTGGTTGGAGAGAGGGGACAAAACATTTCTTAGAAGGGTGTGAAAATCTCTACTTAGACGTATTTTAAAATCGTGAAGTTAATGATGATATGTAACGGACTAATGCAAATAATATCTGTTAGTGATAGATTTGAGTTGTTACTATTTGAGTGAGTATAGTCATTACATGAGTATCATTGGAATGAGCATGCTACCGTCTAAACAAGGAGTGAGTGTAGTACTTACCAAAGGTAGGTAGTACTTTTTTTTTTTTTTCTCTCAAATTTTGCAAGAATGTCAGATTCCTATTTATTTGATATTATTTTTAAGTCAATTGGTATTGCAAATCAAATGATCTTTTGCCTATTTATTTGATATTATTTTTAAGTCAATTGGTATAGCAAATCAAATGGTCTTTTGCTTTTTCGTTAGACTAGTCAGCTTCACGAGATTTGAAATTTTTAGAATTTCATTTTGTACGATGAACTTTCAAATTCGAATGAATATACTTTTGAACTTAAATGTTACTATGGGCTGATAACTTTAAACAATCATAAAGGAATTTAATTTCTTCCTTTTAAAGATACATATATTGAATTAATTGCTCGATTGTATTCGATATATATACATATGTATATATAGCTTTAATTCACGGCCTGAATTAACCCTGTAGTTAATCTACGGCGTAAAGCCCACCCTCCAGCAGCGCACTAACCCTATCCAACCGCCCAAATTTGCTTGATTTAAACAAATAAATTAATTAAATTAAATAATTCACAATCCATCCGGCCTTATGCCTCTCCCGTCGCGCCATCCGCCGACTGCTCCCTGTTCAAATCTACCTTCACGACTGCTCCCTGTTCCGTCCCACCATCCGCCGCGGCTTCACCCATCGCGCTCAGCGCCGCTGCCGAATCCCTTCCTCACTGATCTTCTACCCTCTGTTGCTCTCCGGTATTTTATCTAAATCGCATATTTGTCTTTCGAGTTTCTTTCCTTACAATGGATGAACGTCTGAACGCTTAAACGGATGAAACGATCGGTTCGATCGAGAATTGATTCTGCCTAATCATGGACTTTGGAAATTAGCTTGGTTGTTCATTTCTTGCAATCAAAATTATTGGTTTGGTTATTGGTTTAGCCAAAAACCATAAAACCGAGCTTCTTGAATGTGCTAAATGATGGGTTTTATGTAATCGGAGAAGCTTGAGTTGGATATCCAATTCTGTATGCGAATATAAACTTTAACGACTTGGGGGCTGCTTAGTGGTTTGTTTTCAAAAACTCGGCCCTGTGGTTTGTAAAGATCGAAATTTTATGAATTTCGAAATCGTTGACAGCCGGTGATGTTTTCTAAAGAACGTTAAGAGAAGTAAGCTCTCTGTGAGAACAAACTAAGAGAAAACTTCCCCACCGTACCTTAATATCACATATTTCTGGGATTTTGGTAGCTATTTCAATATCAGCTTTTTCGTTAAGCACGCCATTGATAGTCCCAGCATCCTTACAGTTTACCTCTTTTTAACAGGCACCAGCATTTGCTAATAATTTCCCTTGAATATTTCTCAAGGTGGCTGGAAAATTGAAGCCAACCCACAATGAGTTCAAGCAGTGGCTCCATCGGTGAAACTTATTATGATGTACTGTCTTTGAGGGAAGATGCTAGCTACGATGAAATTAGAGCCAGCTATCGTTCCGCTCTCCTTAATTTCCACCCTGATAAGTTACAAGCTATGTGCCATAAATCTCATTTAGACGACATAGCGGGAGAAAGATACTTGAAGGTGCAGAAGGCTTGGGAAGTCCTCAGCAGCTCAATGTCCCGTGCAGCTTATGACAGAGAGCTCCAAGCTGCCAAAGGGGATGCAATTGGTGCAGAGAGCATAAGGTTGGAGGATATGGCCGTGGAAGATAAAGGTGAAGTTGTAGAACTCTTTTATCAGTGCCGTTGTGGAGATTACTTCTTTATCGATTCGGGGGAGTTGGATGAAATGGGATATCCATTGTTGAGGAATGGGAGAAAGGTTTCTTTAAGGACTCTGGATGTGTTGCCTGCTTCCGTTGTTTTGCCTTGTGGTTCTTGCTCTTTGAAAGTTCGTTTACTTATTGATTCGAATTCAAGTGTTTTGAATGATTTCTTTTAAGATCCTTGGCGTTTCGTTCTTGAATGATTTCAATGTTTGAGAGAGCTTGCTGGACTCGAATGAGAATGTTTACTGGCCTATTTTGGCATCGAGGGCGTTTAATCCACTGCCCCTCTGCCTCTGGTGGTGATCTTTCTTTTTGCTGGCTTGCCCACATGTCTCTCTGGGCGGGTAAAGGATTGGCTAAACGGATGCCTTGGGAGGTTGGTGTCTTAAAGGTGAGTTCTAGATTCTACAGAATATGAGGCTTCAGGTTTCCTTCAGCACCAAATTAGAGGAACTTCAAAGACAAAGGTTCAATCCATTCAAGGGTCCTTCGTAATTTTAACCATGTGATCATTTAATTTGGAAGTAATTTTATAGCTCTTTAGACGGAGAAACCTTCACTCAGTCCCTAGATTATAACTTTGTTAAATTTTGATTGAACGTATTAATATTTCTATTATGTTCATAACTTTAATATAGAAAAAATAGATAGAATCTCGTAAAATTTTGATGAAACATAAAGAAAAAAAAAACATTACTATACTAATATACTATTAATAGCAAGCATTTTAACTTATTTGCAAAGGATAAAATGTTAATTTGTTAATTTAAACACTTTTTTAAGCATTTTTAAAAAAATATCAATCGACATCAATATTTCATAGCATATCACTCAACAAATTAAAATGGGACCCAGCATGATTTTTCTCAATAATTATGACATAATTTAACCAGATCAAATGCTTTTGTACCCAACTAAACGTGAAAAGGGAAGAAATATTTTAAGAATAACCTAATAACATTCTCAACTTACTTAAGATGAGGCGTCTCTATCCCATCTTGTAGGAATATATTATCAGCAGCAGCATCTTTGCCTTTAAGCAGCCGGATGAAGATGCTTTGCCTCGCATAACAAGCACGATGGTGAACAAGTCAAAATTGGATGGCTAGCAATCAAAGTTAGATACACTGTAACAACTTAAAAAGTCAAATAATGACCCTGTAATTCCTCCTCTCTTGAAGGTCGATGGCGACACTGTGGAAACACGGATATGATCGGCATCAATAAACATAACTGGTATAATAAATCAGCCAATAAGCACTTCAATGAAGGGAGGACGTTGCTATCCACTTCCTAAGTCACAAGTCCGAGAAAAGTCTGGTTATGATTACAGTCCAAATGGGCAGCACGAAGCGTTCTCAAATTAAATTTCTGAAAAGTGAGTCTCACCTTTAATGCACACCACCCACCACTAACACCATTTCCAATCCAATGGTAGAAGAGCAGACCCAATTCGGGAAAAGATCTAATCAGTTTGATTTGGAAAAAAATTTAATTAAAAGAAGAAAGATAACAAGTCGAACTGATTTAAAACGAGCCTTATGATACGAAGTAGCACATTTTAGGGGGAAAAAAGAGTAGACTGATAAACTTCTTCATTTAAAACGAGCAAACTTTGTATATGGACAGCATACCAGATTGATACCAAACTTTTAAAGATCGGCTGTATGTTTTTCGTACTCTTCTCCTCCCATGAGCTTTAATAGTGGAAGTGCCGCCCCCCGACCAGGTTGTCAAAAGTAGAAGATATTGGTTGGTTAAATGTCTCAATTCGCCCAAATCTTGAGCATTAAGAGAGAATCCAAGCGCCTAGAAAAGTAGGTGCTAGATTAGCATACAGCATGCCAATTAATTTTCAAAGTAATGGAAGAATGAGAATACAGTGTGAGCTTTGTGCTGGAATCTTTAGTGCAGTTCAACATCATTCGTTGGAGTGTCTTGTGCTCTCTTCTAACTTTGTCTTTACACCGAAGGATTAGAAAACGTTATTTTCAATAAGCTGTGAAGGCACTGTCAAAAATGGAGCCATTTTGAACCCTCAGTTAGGGGGCATTAATTCTTTATATAGTTTCTGGCTCATAAACCAACCAGAAAATCTTGCTTCTCCAATATGGGCGTCTTTTATCAAGAAGACCCACCAAATCCTTCAAGGAAATGCTTTCTAGCAGGTGCTTTGAAGGATGTACTCTGCAACTGTCATACTTTTGGCAAACCACAGCCAAATTCCAACGCAGAGGATGACTATCCAACGAGTGACTTTGATGATGAAGAGGAAGTATTCACTCACCAACTTATCCTCGCATATCAACAGATATAATAACCTTTTGTTTACTCTTTCACCTTATATGAAATCTGTTTCTCTAAGTTTCTTATCTATTTCTCAGGAAATTGTATCGGAAATCAGAAGTCGGGCAATGGAAAAGTTGAGACGAAAGACTAACCTGTCAGACAGCTTTTCCTGGGTTTTCTCACCTGCAACCAAAGAATTATATATTACTTCAATGGAGATTGAGAAGATGGATGAACCTGGAAATGAAGATAACACAGGAGATGAGTTCTACTCTGTTCAGAGTTTTCTCACATGTTCAAGTGCTGCAACAAAGGAAGCATTCTTTTCCGTAGAGGCCAACTTTTCCCGATGTTCGAGCTTAAATGGTCTTAATTTTCTGGATGAAGATCTCAAGAGGCGCACCATCTTACAGGAATTGTTTCATTGTGAAGGATGGCCGTTTGGTCTTTGCAGGAAAGCGGCGTTACTTCCACCTCTGCCCAAGTCGCCATCTGAATCTTGGTTATGGAGTAAAGGCACCAAAATTGTGAAGATATGATGTCCAAATTCGGTGCTAAGTTCTGTTTTTTTGTATTTTGCTGCTGCCAGAAGTAACGTTGAGATTGAAGAGTAAAACGTGGCTCCTCTTAGTAACAAAATTCTTCAAGCTATTGATCTGATTAAAAACAATTTTCAACTCTTCTTCACCTCATAAACCCTCTTAAATTAATTACCGCTAATATGCAGTTGCAGTAGCAATAATCATAGTTAAGGTTGCCCCCTCCGTAGATCACAGAACTCTTCAAGAACACATAAATGCAAAAACATGAAACTGATGATATAAACTTGTAAAAGGAACCCAATAATTGACAAACATGCAAGGAAGTTAAATTCTGAGAACTCATTTGTCAATGTGAGATCTTATTCAATTGCCATTAAATCCACAATTTTTTGGATTTGAGAGAAGCAGACAGTAAAAATTGAAAAACAAACACCCAAACTAGAGTAGGCTAGCAACTACAGCCAAACTTTCAACGAAGCCAAATTTATGCCCTTTGCTCGACATATGACCCTGATAGACCAGAGGTTCCCAGCACAGAAATCTGTCGTAAAATAAAATAGAAGCTATGGTTAACAAAAATTGCTTAATGATCAATACTCGTTTCACCAACTTATTTATTTGAAAATTGCAATTAACAAACTATATAGCGAGAAGCTTTTTACCTTTCCCCACTCGGATCCAAGGCCACTGCATCTCATTTTCAAGTATATCATCTTAGTTCCTAACTCGGTTTCAACTTTCTTTCGCAGATAGTTTTCCTCGGGACCAAATGCATCCAAGTAGGCTGTATAGCGATCATAAACTGTTTGTAGTGCCTTCTTAAGCTCATCAGACAAAGGCTTAACATCCTGTACATAGACTCCGAAGTTTTCACTTGATAAGAATCTGGAGAGGAAAAAAAAATTAATTTGATAAATGTATAATTTCCAATACCTCGCCACTGACACCAATGCTATCATCAATTTCCATTTTCAAGTTGATAAGTATATCACCAAAATCCTCTGCCGCTTCAGCTGCTCTGAAAACATTTTCCACAATTTCCTTTCCAGCCTTGTCTTCAGTGCTTCCAGATAATGCTGCCTTTACATCATAGACAACAGACTCGGGAAGGTTATCCCAGCTTGCAGCCATCAAATCCTTGAAAGCATTCTGAAGCTTGGTATCTCCAATTGTAGGCATATTAACTACATCAACACTAAAAAATCTAGCGTGCGCTACACCAGATAGATAGCCACAATCTGCTGAAATTTACCAGAAGAAACAGGCATATGATTTATTTTCAAACATTATAATACTGAAAAAATAATTTAATTCGGTCTATCAACGTTATTCAGTCACTTCACATTGCAGCGAGCTGAAACAATAAAACTTTGCACAGTGCACATTTCTACCCAGAATTGTTGAAATTTTAAAACTTTAGTTGATATTCCTTCTCTCTGATACGAGATTTATTTTGTTACAATTCTTTAAGACAAAAGCATTGCTTAAAGTAACAAGGGGCACTTAAAGAAACTCGGCATTTCAACAAAACTAACCACAAATTGCGAACACTAGGAAGACTTGATGATAAATACTAATGCAGAAAAGAACATAGCAGTTTACTGTACAAATATAGCAAGCAAAATTTTGATTTGTAAGAACTACATCTGTATGTGCAATTCATGGTAGAAGATCTATACATTTAACTAATCACCAGTAAGACACAAGCATATCAGCAACCAACTGAGAAAATCAATAGCTAGCATTAATTAAGTTGAATAAAGAATAGCGAATGACTTCATCAGAAATTCCGCTTCTTTCCAAAATTAATCAGGAGAGATTTGAATCTATAATAAATAGGCTGTAAGTATACTAATTAGGAGGAATACCAGAAGAAACTCTCAGCGGAAAATCTGAGAAAGAAGAACGATGAGACAACAGAGAGAAGAAACTTCGGGCAGCCAGATGGTGACTCTTTAGTAAATTCCGGTGCGTGACGCCGGCGATGACGTAAGATCTGGCGCGAACAGAACGCAATAATGATCTGAGAATCACCATTTTCTCCGAGACTTCCGGTTTTTTCCTCGAAACGGCAAAATTGAAAGCTAACTCGAGACAAGAGGCTGTTCGATGACCGGGTAATAAAAGAAGAGAGTTGATATCCAATTTCAGAGAGGAGTGCCTCCCTCCATTTCTTCTTTATTTGTTTTTGGGGCCGACATTGTTGGGCCATTTAGGCCCATGGCCCAATCATGGCATTTGGAGTTTTTTTTTTTTTTTTTTTTAAGTACTTTATTTTGAAAAACGGCAAAAATGACTTGATTCAAGCCTTTTTAAGTATTTTTATTTATTAATTTTTTTAATAAAAAATAATTTTAATCGTCTTTAAACATTGAAGAAGTTAACTGAACCCTTCACATCATTAATTTTCCTACAAGGAAAATTGTAATTATGACACCTTGTGTATGATGAAACATTTGTTAATATTCACCAATGGCAATTAATATATTATTTAAAATTAAAAGACCACAACAGTAACGTATATGCATAACTTGAGCCTTATGGTTGGTGGCTTCATCTTCCAAATACTTATCTCTTCACCATAAATAATGGAGCTAACCAGATAAACCAACGAAGCCCACACATTCTTCACAATTCAATCCATAAATCAGAAGAATAGACCCTCTTATGGACTCACCAAGCCATTTGCTCGCCCCTGGTATCCTTCTTTCATGGAATCCGGCGAACCAGAAACAGCCTTCGAGTTACTCCCACTTCTTCGCGTCTACAAGAACGGACGAATTGAGCGCCTCATCGGCACTGATTTCGTTCCACCGGGGACCGACCCTCTCACCGGCGTCACATCCAAAGACGTAACAATATTCCCGGAATCCGGCGTCTCCGCCAGACTCTTCCTCCCAAACCTCACTCACTCGACTCAACGCCTTCCCCTCGTAGTCTATTTCCACGGCGGTTGCTTCTGCACACAATCCCCATTCACGGCCAAGTACCACAACTACCTCAACGCCCTCACCGCCGAAGCCAGAGTCCTGGCGGTTTCCGTCGACTATAGGAAGGCACCAGAGCATCCCGTTCCCACCGCCTACGAAGATTCATGGGCTGCCCTTCAATGGGCCATTTCACATTGTGAGGGGAAAGGACCTGAGGTTTGGTTGAACAAACATGCAGATTTCAGAAGGCTGTTTCTGGCCGGAGCTAGTGCCGGTGCCAACATCGCCCACAACCTGGCGATGTTGGACGGCGAACCTGATTACGGGGAGAACATGGAGCTTGTTGGGGTTGCTTTGGAGCATCCATATTTCTGGGGAAGTGTGAGAACTGCTAAGGAGGCAGAGGATCCACTGAGGACGACGTTGTTTGATCGGCTGTGGGGGTTTATTTGTCCAGCGAGACCGGAGAACGATGATCCATGGGTGAATCCTGTGGCTGAGGGGGCAGCGAGGCTGGCTGGGATGGGAAGTGGGAGGGTTCTGGTTTGTGTGGCGGAAAAGGATGTGCTGAGAGACAGAGGAAGGCATTACTATGAGGCGTTGGCGGGCAGTGGGTGGTTGGGGGTGGCAGAGATTGTGGAAACAGAGGATGAGGATCATTTGTTTCATTTGAATGATTTGGAAGGTCAGAAGGCTAAGGATTTGATCCGAAGGCTGGGGGCTTTCTTCAACAGAGACATGCCCCATTCACTGCTGCGTTGAGTCTGGTCTTCTATTTCTAAGGCTAATATTTCCAAGAAACCAAATTTGTAATTTTTGTTAAAGTTATGCAGAGTTCAGAGACCACATTTGATACTATCCGTCGTTAACAACAGAAATCAATACAAGTTATACGTGGAGTAAAAGAAACCAAAACTAAAAAACGAGAAACTCAAAGATAAAATCAGATATCATCATATAAACCCAATAAAATCAGCATCAATCAAGTTCTAAAGTTTACCATTTCTGTCTCTATCAACAAAAAAAGGGAGATAGGAATTACAATAGATCAAAACCAATAAGCATTGAAAGATCTTACATCCCGATCAGATCACAATGGACGTGTAGCTTCTCATAGGGCGATGATTAAATAGAGCACCTTTTAGTTGCAGGATAACAATGTGGAGCTTCAAAATACTACCGTGTCGAGCATTGTTCCTAATGTTTGGATGATGTTTGACGACATCAAGTTGGAGACATGTTCTTCAAGGTGTTTCTTAGCATCTTGTCTGCCAACATTTGCTATTGCGAGCTTCTCAGGGGGCAACTCATCTTCCTCCTGGACTGCTTTGTTGTACTTGATAGCCAAGTTCAGCATTTCCTGAAATCAATAAATACATCAATTAGCAGTCTATAGAATAGATACCTTTCATGGTCCAAAGGACTTTGCTTACTTGAATGGTCTGCTCATTGGTTTTCGAATGGGTATCGAATCGGCGAAGTGTCAGACCATCAGTCCATTTCTTCTTGTGAAGGTTGAGCAACATCTTCTCCTCAAGCTCATTCTTCCTGTAGTTTATTGCAATCGAGTAATAGTGTCGGTTCAACCCATGGATTAATGCCTGGAAGTGATTAATGATGGTGTGAATAAGATGAACTGTGAGATAGTTGAGAAAAACTCTAAAGGTAATTTAGTTGCTCATAACCCACTTGAATAGATGGCTTATTAAGATGCCCGAGGTTGGAAGTTGTTTGGCGTGGTTCCTGCCCAAGCATCATAGTCTGAGGGTTAATTAGACGAAAAGCATCGATCACCACCTTCCCCTTAACACTCTGGATTGGATCCACGACCACCGCGACAGCCCTCTGATTCAGAGCCTCAAAACTCTGCAAAGCAATGTATGCTATAAATATTTGACCGCCATAATTCAACACTAATAATTAAAATATTTGATCTACTTAAAACTACGAATGGTAGCTCGCCCAACCCTCCACAAATATCTATTGATATCATTGTATTGGTTGAATTAATACACCATTTCAGAGCTAAGAAAACACACATCACAAAAAGCTGCCAATGGTGTCGTTAATAACAGTGAAGCATGAGGGCTTTGTGACAACAGTGACAAATATTAGATAGCCAACAATGTATTATGTATATAAGTTTAGATGCATAATTGATGCATAAGGGATACAGTTAAAACACAAACCTGTTGTGTATTAATATCAACACCAGATAGCCAACATCCAAAACCTGGATGAGAATGATACCAACCCACGACCATCTCAGGCCTGTGAACAAAGAAATCGGCTTTAGCTATCTGAACAACAAAGGACAGTATAAACTGAAAAAATATAACAAGAAGAAAGAACTTCACAAAAAAGATTAACTTTCAAAAACATGGATGGACCCATCCCTAGTTTAAGATACAGGATTTACAGAGTTAGAATCGAACGTGCCTTCTTAGTAATGAATAATTATAGCATGTATGCACAATATACAGACGAGCTACAATAAGATGAACCGAGATAACTTCAGTAAGAAAAGAATAACAATTAAAGAGATCAAAGTGAGAGGTGAAATACCGCCCAGTCTGTTTAAGCATATCGAGCATGTTGGTCTGAAAAACATGATCGACAGCTTCGACACTAACACCAGTACCACTTTGGGGCATGGCAAAGACGTCAACAACACGAACCGTGTACTCATCAACAAACTCTCCCAGCATCAAACCCATCACCTCCATCGGAACCCCAGCTCTTCCTAAAAATTAAACCAGACAGCTACGCGATTACAGATTCATCAAACGCCATAACAAAATCAAATAAAATTATGGAAATGGTATTGTGATAAACCAGAACGAAATTCGATAATAAAAAAAACGCCCATCAGATTTAGGGTTTACAACTCAGACAATTATTGGCGGCAAATTATTAAAAATAATGAATGGTGCTCAAAAATCAAGCAGAGAATTAGAAGATTAAAAGTTGGAGACCGAACAATCAAGGACAATAGCAATTGTAGAATGAATTACCGTGCTTGAGCATCTTGAGGAGCGCGAGCGAGGAGATATAGACCTGCTCGGAAGAATCTAAGGTGGGGGAGTCCGGAGGAGGGTGTCCCAACGCACCACCGGCACCGGCAAACATCCTCTGAAGGCGTTCCATCCCTGACATTCGTCTATCTCTCAATTGTAGCTCCTAATCTATCACCGCCGATCTGTTAAGTACCCGGAGTTTCTTTTGTTGCAAGATAAGAATACACCGGCGCCTTTTTTTTTTTTTTTTTTTTATCGCCTGTATTTATATTCTCCATCATTTCATTAGAAAGGTTGAAAATGTAAATTTAAAATAATAATAATAACAATAATAAAAATTAAAATTAAATAATTAAAAGAAAAAACCTTGTGAAATTTAAATTGAGGGCCAAAATGAAAATGGTCCAACTAGTTTTCTACCCCTACGTAGATTTCAAATAGACATAAAAAAAAATATATCATCTAAATTGGTGAATTAAGCTCAAAATGATTACCTCTGAAAGTTTAAACTTAGATCCTTTATCATTTTCAATTATTAAAACCTAAAATCCTTCACAAATTTGTTCAATTTATAAGCTTGTTAAAAATATGAAAAAGGAATGTATAAAAATGAGTAGCTTTCAAATAACTTGTTTTTTAACAATAATTGAAATGAAGGAAGAATAATTAGAAAGATAGAAAATATATTATTTTATAATTTAAAATATCAGATCATTTGAAGCAATTATAAAATATTAATTTCAGGTTAGGAGCATTATTATTAGGGATAAGTTTAACGCTTAGAACTGAAATATTGTAGGGCTTTACCCAAAAGGGAGCCCTTCCAGAAATTCTCGAAGGCCTAAGCCAAGCCCAGGCCTAAGAGGGGGTTTGGAAATAGTTTTCAACCAGCAATTGACGCGCCTCGGTTAGAACCTCACTAGCTGCGTCATTGCCCCAAGCGCAAAGATAACCTGCACAATTACCTAAGCCTCCTTTTTAAAGCTGACCGCATGTGGTTCATGGACACTTTTTCCGATGTGGGACGACAAATAACGCAACCATTTGATTTGAGGATACCCGCAAATAAAAACTATCACTAAACAAAAATAATAATTGAAGTAATAAAACTGAATAAATATTTGTTATATGGTTTTTATTTATGTATATTTTTCATAAAACTTTTACATTCAAAATCACATTAAACATAAAAGACAATTAAAAGGTATAAAGAGAAAGAATAAGATTAATAATTGGCTAATTTTATTATGTAAACAAACCCTAGAGAAATAACAATCTTATTAACCAAATGTCACACTCAATACTTTCCTAATACATGGTGAAATTTAATGAAATAATGTAAATAAAATAAATGATGGAGTGGTATAACACTAGTAATACATACTCTTTTGCACTCCAATTTATATTGCATATAAAATTAATTATCATGATATTAATTAAATGTCCTTGTCCGTCGCTGCAGCATCCTTTCCATGGGGAGACTTGGAATGGCGAAGCCTCCTTTCTGTGGACAGCACTTTTGCGAACCTGCATCATTCGCATATATACGCATAAATCTCGTAAATTATGAATTAGGAAGGCGTTGAAGTAAATATATATTGTTAGACTATTCACTTTGAGCATAAGAGCTTTCTTTTGGGTTTCCCCAAAATACTTCATATGAATTTTTTGATTATAAACTCATGATAATTCCTTAAATTAGTAGGCGTAGAAATTTCATTATCCAATATAATTTGACGATAACATAATTTTTACCTTATCAGAGCTTGCTCGTTTGTTTCGGAATCACGAGGTTGAACGACACCCGTCTCCAAATTCACCCTCGAGACTGGTTTCTTCAACAATTTTTCACCAACCTCAACAAGATCGTTCAAGTTCTTCTTCGTGGCTATGTCCACTGAGGATATAACTCCGCTCAACGTATCATCCTAACGAGTTTAAATTAAAAGCATTATTATTTTTCAATATATAAATTTTTTTTTCATTGGTTGATTGATTTCGAAAAAAAAAACCTGAATTCGGAGGTAGTTTTGTTCGCAATGAAGAGCTTTAAAAACCACAGAAAGATGAAAATCCACCATATCAGAACTTGCATGAGAAAACACGTCGATGATCGGCGTGGAACCGCCGGCCGTGAGCCACTGCAACAAACCCCACTTGGCTGCCTTCTCCGACGTGTATTTCATTTCATCTTTTGGGGATCCCGTCCCCAACGATATAACTAGAAACCTCGAGTAATCTGTTACTCTTATAGCAAAGAAATCTGGATTCCCTTTCAGTGCCTCCTTTGTCACTTCACCCATAGCCAGCAAAGTCTGCAATTTTTTTTTTTTTTTTCAATTTTTATAGTTATATTTAAAATCTAATTAAATTTTTTTAATATAAATTATTTAGAGAAAATAATATACATACTGGATTATTAGCAGCAACGCCACCATCAACGAGGTTAAATTCCCTAACTTTACCCGTGGCCACATCCTGAGTTTTGAAGTAATGAGCAGGAAGATAAGTAGGCGCGGCCGATGTCGAAATGCATATGTCGGAGACCGCCGCATTCAAATCAGGTTTGTTCTTGACCTAGGAAGGTCATAGAAAAAAAAATTATTCAAAATCTTACGTTCATATGTGGACAAAATCGAAATACTCAAGTGTAGGAACCTCGTAGCTGGAGAAGATGGTGGGCTGAAGGAGCTTGATATCGAAGGCAGGGATAACAACATTAGTCAAAGTTTGGTTCAATTTTGTATCTCCAAGTTTTTCCTTGACGAGCTGGTGGAGATACTTTCCATCATATTTTGGACCCATCAGGGCATTGACGATCTTTTCTATCGCCAGCGATCTGCCAAAACTCGAAGCTAAATGTTATTATCACAAGAGAAAATGGGTTTGTTTTCTTTAATATAATGTTTAAGGTTATTGTGGAATTGGCAAACCGTTTCTGGGGAAAGATTTTAGGAGAGTGATTGAGGTAGAAATCTTTGATGTCTTTAGCCGAAAACAAGGGACGGTTGTTTTCATTCGGAGCAGTTAACATGGCTGTCACCAATCCACCTGTGCTCGTCCCAGCAATCACATCGAAATAGTCAGCGATTCTTGCATCCTCACCGTCCAGTTTCTACACACCATATGAACATTAATCAACTCAAAAATCTTACATTTATTAATTTTTAACATTCTACTATCACGTGTGTATTTAATACTTCATTAGTAATGAATATTTTGATTAAAAGTTAACTAACTTGGAAACAATTGAAATAGTTAGAATTTACGCACGGTACCTGAAGTTCAGACTCCAAGAAATTGAGGATGGTTCCGGGGATGAGCCCTCGGATTCCACCTCCATCAATACTCAACACCGTGATAAGGTTTCCAAAAGTTGGAGGCTGTAGAGGAACATTTGTTGAATCCATAAATAAATATACAAAAATCAAGGAACTTGGATTGAAAAAACTAAGGTGTTTGCTTTTGTAAGTATAACTGCACCGCTAGAAGGATTTGAGAGCAAATATCTATAATTATATTCTTTGGGGGCATTGTATCGAGGTATTTATAGAATTCCTAGAACAATTGAGTTTAATATTTAACAATATATTAAGAATATTTATTTTCAATTATAAATTACCATATATATCATATTTAACTTTTTATTACAAGCAAATATCTTATATAATTAAAAATATTTAATTCAGTTTACCTTAAGTACTATATTTGATCATTTATCTTAGGTTTATTATAGGTATCATATTTATCCCTTTTATTATAAGCAATATTTGCCTTTCATTACTTTATTATAGGCGATATTTGTCTTCTATTGCTACTTACCATAAATATCATATTTGATAAAATATATGAAAGACAAATACATATCTTTCGTAATTTATTTAATTCTATAAAGAATTATGAAGGGAGACAAATGGATAAGCTTCCAACTCGGTCATGCAGCCACTTCCCTCTTAGCAGCCGCTTATATTTATCTTCTTGGTCCTTCCCAAGTACAAGTTATCAATATAAATAATTATAAGCAGCTTTCCTTTCGTTAATTAATTAATTAATTAAAACTTTAGTACATAACACAATTTTCACATAAAAAATATGAAAATTATATGCATCATAGCTTAATAAAGTTTTGACTCTTAAATGGCATGTTCAAAAACTAATTAATTTACACCATAATTTAGGTACAATATAATAATATGATTCGTGTACGAAACAAATTCCAGAATACTTGGAATATGGTGGATTAAAGAAATAATTTCAATTTTCTTAGCTAGTTGTGTTAATCCTTAATATTTAAAATTAAAAAAAAAAAGGGTTAGAAAATGGGCCAAGTTGGGTACTTAGAAAAATCAACTTTATGGAGACTTGATACGTTCGATTATCATTCTGCAAATTTCTGGTATTATTCAACTTCAAAGCTCAACCCAATTATTTTAGTATTGGAACGAATAAAAAAATATTATATTGACTCAATTGATATGTTGAAATTATAATTATTCATCACGGACGCAAGCTTTGCGTGAGTAACGATATAAACGACTATCTTTTCCTTATGATTGGGTTCAAAATTTTCCACCGGACTAAATAATTTTTTCATGTCATAAAATAAATTTAATCATTTAATAATATTATCTGATTAATTTGATTAAAAAAAAATACCTCTTATATCAATATTCAAATAATTTTATATCAAAAGATCAAACGAGTTAAAAAATAAGAAATATTGAAAATAAATTCACTCGTAATTCGCCCTTCTCTTTCCCTCCTTCCTTTCTCTCCTTCTTCCTCATTTTTTAAAAATAGTTTCTTTAGCAAATTAATGATTTTAAATTAGTCTAAATCTTATCTTTACTTTTTGTTGGTCAATTCAAACATAAGTATTCTAAATTTGGGTCAGATTTCAATCTAGGAATGAGGCGCATACCTCGTGGATTATTGTTGTTATTTTTAATTAGTATTTTAAATTTGAAACTATAAGTTAAAAAGACAAAAAAAAAAAAGAAAAAAAAAAGTATATTATTAAAATAATAGATTCCAGCTCGCATCACAAAAAGCCATCAGCTATCATCATGAACCAAATGGCTGCCTTGTCGTTTTCTCCTTGATCGCTTTTATCGACCGTACTACGAATCATCCAACGGTCTAAATTGTTGCTTATGTTTTTCATTTTATTAGATCCAATAACACAAATAACCACGTTTGAATTAGGTTTTCTAAATCAATTATTTAAAACAAGGGAATTAGAAATTAGAGATTGACTCACGAATGGACCAGGAACACATGTTCTCTCAAACTTATCTATTTGTATTATTTAATTTAACCAAGCTTTTTTTCTTTTTGTTTATTACGAAAGGACCAAAAATTATACTTTAATTCTTACGTATAAAGCAATTTAAATTTTATATTATTATAACATACCTGGACCTTTATAAAATGGAACCTTATGGTACATAAAATTAGTTAAAACTGGACCAAGATGAAATCATTCCAACAAGTAAACAGGATTACCACCCTAAATGACACACAAATCCTATGAAATAACTACATTTATCTTTAACTATTTTCCGAAAATTCATAATAATAATCTAAAATTTTCAGACATCTGAGAAAAATATGAGAAATCTAAATTCAGGTGGCCGGAGATGCATTATTTTCCAATTTCAAGGCGGCAGCTCTTCCATGAGGGGACCTTGCATGGCGGAGCCGCCTCTCTTCAGACAGCAACATGGCGAATCTGCATAAGATGACCCATTCGTCAGCAGTAATTAAAAGCAAATTTTGAGACATTTTTCTTTATTGAAAAGAAAAAAAAAAAAGAGAGAGAAAATTAAAGGGGTTTTAATTTAATTTAATTTAATTTAATCTTTGCCTTATAAGGGCTTGTTCATTTGTTTCTGAATTTGAAATACAATCCTCAAAGATCCCCGTCTCCAGATTCACCCTTGAAACTGGCTTCTTCAATAACCCTTCTCCGACCTTCACAAGATCATTGAGATTCTTTTGTGTAGCCACATCCACCGAAGCCACCTTGCCGCTCAACGTATCATCCTGTGTAATTTGTAAAAGCTAACGTTTAAGATAAGTATATACAAGTAAGTTCATCTTGTAATTTATTCTTAAATTTTTTAATAAATTTTGTATATATACAAGTATATAGAAATTAATGTATTACCAATTAGATTTGAAATGACATTAATTTATAATACTTTTATGTTTTAAAACTATTTTAACATGGTTGACCGACAAGTAATATATTTATTTAAATTAGTTGACAATAATGTAAATCAGCCTTACCATAAAAAAAATTTAACTGTTGTTAAAAATAAGTAAAAATAATAATAATAATAATAATAATAATAATTTGAATGAATAGGGAAAAGGAGGGAAATAAGTGAACCTGAATGCGAAGGTAGTTTTGTTCGCAACGAAGGGCTTGAAAAATGACAGAAAGGTGAAGATCCACCATATCAGAGCTTGCTCGAGAAAACACGTCGATTATTGGGGTGGAGCCGCCGTTAGTTAACCAGTCCAACATCCCCCACTCCGCCGCTTGCTCCGCCGTGTATTTCATTTCCGATTTCGGAGCTCCAGTTCCCAACGATATGACCAAAAACCTTCTGTAGTCCATTGGCTTTATAGCATAGAAGTCTGGATTTTCTTTTATCACCTCCTTCGTCACTTCTCCAATTGCCACCAACGTCTAATTTCATTTCACAAAAATGCTTTTTAACTATGAAAAATAATTTAATTATCATTTTTGTTTAAATAAATATTTATACTTCTTGTATTTATTCATGGTTTTAATATTTGGTTAATAAAGAGAAAACCATGGTAAAAATAATCAGAAATTTAAATAATAAAAAACTAAAAGCGATCTCTACTCCCTCTTCATAGATCTATAGTGAGTTATTTACCGGATTGTTTGCAGCAACGCCGCCGTCTATTAGGTTAAACTCTCTCGTTTTTTGAGTAGCAGTGGCCTCAATTTTGAAGTGATGCGCCGGAAGAAAAGTGGGGGCCGCCGAAGTAGAAATGCAAATATCCGACAAGTAAGCATCCAACGAGGGATTATTCTTCATCTGAAACATGGACCAAATCTAAAATCTCCAATGAAAAAGATAATGAATTTAAGGTAAAAAATAAAAATAATAAATTAATTACCTCGTAGGTAGAAAATATGGTGGGCTGAAGGAGCTTGATATCAAACGTCGGGATCACCACCTTAGTCAACGTTTGGTGCAACTTTGTATCACCAAGCTTTTCCTTCACAAGTTTGTGGAGATATTCCCCGTCGTATTTTGGACCAGACAATAATTTCACTATTCTTCCTATTGGCCACCTTCTGTCCCATTTTCAAATATCGATAGATTAAATTTAATTTCGTGTCTTAATTACATCATTACCATTTATTTTCAGGTTTATTATCAAACGTGTGAGATAATTTAATCAAACTATAAGCTTATATTCATTCTTAAATTTAAATTTATGTTTACGTTTTGTTTTAGAATAAATTACCTGATTTGGGGAAAGATTTTGGGAGAATGATCGAGATAGAATTGTTTGATATCTTTAGCTGAAAACAGGGGACGATTGTTTTCATCTGGTGCTGCTATCATGGCCGTCACAAGTCCTCCGGTGCTTGTCCCAGCAATGACATCAAAGTAATCTGCAATTCTTGCTTCTTCGCCGTCTAATTTCTACTACCATAATAATATCCTAAAATTATTAGCAACAAATAATACTTCCTGTTTCCAAACCCAATTTATTTTTAGGCATATTCTTTCATTATTTTGGATATTTGTTCCTATGTGGTCTATTTAACCTCTGACCAAGTAAATTCCATTTAGAATTAATGATTCAATTTGACAAATCATAAACAAATGGCCAAAACATTAGTTATAACAAGAGATGATCATTTTATAAAACACAAGTATATGACCATATATGAATCTTACAAACGGTTATATTCCTAAAAAATGCAACATATAATGGTACCTGAAGTTCAGACTCAAGAAAATCAATAATAATTCCGGGAATGATTCCTCTAATTCCACCTCCATCTATACTCAAAATTGTAATAAGGTTACCAAAAGTCGGAGGTTGGAATGGCACAATTATCGCTTCCATGACTACTTAACTGTAAATGAAAACAAAGTTTTAGTCTTCGTCCAAAGAGGTGCGATGAAGAAGAGAAGCTTCTAGAGGAAGACTCCAAACCTTCTGAGAAAGCTCTCTAACGGCCTAAGAAAATATTTTTAACCTTTTTTGAGTTTTGTGGATATTTTTTTATACTTCCATGGGGCAATTTATAGGCATTACCAACTCCCTTTTGAACCATTATTTGGCTTTGGGGATATGCAAAGTGACAAAGCATGGAAAGATTAGCGTTGTAAACCTCTCTGTTTTTCAACACGTGGACCAATAGAGTATTTTGTAGAAATGTCAAAAGTATTGCTTTCCAACTTGGGTTCTCTTTCGTCATTAACTTGTGAAAATTAATATAAAAGCATCAAATCCCATCCCATGTAACATTTTATATATAGCTCCTATGCCATCACATTTCAACCTTCTTTAAGTTAATGTTTTTGAAATTTTTGGTTTGAGAGTAATTCATGGAATTTTTTTCAAATTGTGTTTGTTAGATGACCACGAGTTTCGAGAATAGTATGGTATTGTCCACTTTGAATATAAGCTTTCATGACTTTGCGACTTCTCCAAAATGTCTCATACTAATAGAGATAGTATTTCAACCGTGTTAGATATTGTCGCACTAATAAATGAAGAGGACATAATTGTTTCTGAGTGGAAAAATTTTAATTTGATTTTTATAAAATATATATATATATATAGATCTTGTTTTTTAGCTCTTATTTTCAACATTTTAAAATATACCAATAAATTTGGAGTGTCATGGAAGGAGAATGTAAACCCACTTATTTAATAAAGGATTTCTTAGGCAGTTTTAATCACTCATCTCTCGTTCTACATATATATAATCTTGAATTAATTTTCTCCCAATGTTCAAATTTTCCAACATTATATTAGACAACTGTTTCTTTTATTTATAATTTTTGTATTTCTTATTCTCATTTGTAAGAAAATTTTGCAAAATTGATAATTTTTTTTTTAAAGAAAGGTATTTTTCTTTCCTATTTCCTAATTTTAAACAAATATAAGTGAAGTATTGTTTTATTATTGTTTTTACATCCATATGTACGGTAAAGAGACTCACCGCAGGGCCTGGCCCGAAGATTCTGAGCTGGCACGTGTTCCAATTACAGGATATTCTAGGGTTCGGCCGGGCAATTAGGACGCAAATCAAAAAGAAATCGAAAATCTTCTTAATTTTAATTTCTTAAAATAATAATAATTAATAATCTCACTTTTTTTTTTTATTAATTAAAAAATGTTCTGAATCCTCGCGGTCCACTCTTAATCGTCGTAATGTCCTCCATTCGGTGGACTAATTGGGTGTGGTCCCACGTATCGCAATTACGATAAAGAGAAACATTTCCACGAATGAGAAGATGAAACGTGGCTGAAAATCCACCTTTAAATAGTGAGAATATTTGGATTAATTAATTTTTGGGTCATTGAGTTTTATTATGTCAACATCTGGCGCCGTCTCAGTTTTCTCATCTCCCCTCCCCATGGCTCCAGTTTCTCTCTCTTCTTTCTCCCATACGCCTTCTGTTGTTCCTTCGCCTTGTCTACTACAGCTTTACCGGCGAATCTTACTTCCTCGCAGAACGCTTGCCTGTTTCTCCTCCACTTTGACTTCTTCTGCTTCGATCACGTCTTCGTCAATTTCGGCGCCAAAAGTAGTGGTTACCAGAGAGCGCGGCAAGAACGGGAAGCTCATCGATGCTTTGGTAAATTTTCGTTCCTCTCGATTTTGTAATCAGAGCATGTTTTGTTCAGATTGTTGACTTATCTTTTGATTCCTCGAGCCTTTTTTTTTTGCTCTGTTCTCGTTCGTCAGTTTGATTCTCATTCTACTTAGGCATTGTGTTAATCTTATATACATGTGGTGCAGCGATTTGTAAGTCGACGCGTTTGATTAAATGTTGGAATGAATGCTGGTTGTTCGAGTCTTTTGATTAATTGTTGCCTTCTCAAGTTCTTCACCGATTTTCTAGATCTTTCCGAAATTGTTAATCATTTTGAGACTCATTACTACCTTTACTTCTGCTGGAATATTGTTGTTAATGTCTTTTTGGAGAAGATGAGGAATGTTGCACTTTAGTGGACGTTTCTTGCCGCTGAAGTAAATTAGAACTGTAATAGTTTGTAAGTTCCGATGTAGTTTCTGTTTTCCAAAAATTAAAATGTCTTTTATCATCAGTTGTAAGATAAGAACGCCTCTAACATCAAATGTGCTGATCTTGTTATTTTTCGACAACAATCGGCAAGGATAATCGGCAAGTGAAATCCTTTTCGGTGAGAGGAAATCGTATGATAGGAAGTTGTTGGAAGAAAATAAAAATGGAAAAAATAAGAGAGAGAGAATTGCAGAAGACTTTTGCTCAAGATGAGGTGATGATATTTTCTGAACAGATTCACCTGTTTAAATATTTAACTTATCCTAAAAATTGCAGAGTGCCAACTAAATCTGTGCTACTTCCTACAAAATCACAATCTAAAAAGTTGGTAATCCATTCAACGTGTCAAATGGTAAAAGAAAGATATTCAATCAACTAATATAAATGTGTAAAGCTAAATAAGGAAACCTCAGGTACCGATCTATACTCGAAAGTAGCCTCAATATGAGTTTAATGTCAGTACTTAGGTATATTATCAGAACTATATTGAACCATTCCATCGCTGCATGCGGTGGTATATTTCTTGTTAATCTCAGTTCCTTTTTTCATATAATAGCTTATTCGTAATAGCTGCTCTGCATTGTTGATTTTAGGAAGTGTTGATATTAAGAATATTGTTCTTTTTTATTGGATGCGTATAGTACTTTCGTGGCGATTAGTGCTTCAATAGGTACTATGAATCCTGTTCATTGCTTAGTCTTGCATAGTATTTCATCCAGGAAACCGATCTATTGCTTCAATCAAGAATAGGTAGGGTAGGATGGAGAATAGACATGATGTTTTATCTTGAACTTTTGTCCATTATCATCCACTAATGGATGAATATTTCCGACATGGACATATTTGTTACATAACTTAAAGTTACTGATGTTTTACTCTATATACCATTGCTTCTCTCCTCAATTTCCTTTTTTTTTTTTTTTTCCCTAAAAAACATTCCTTGACTATTCTTAAACAAACCTGCTGTGAAGGTAAAATAATAGATATTGTGTGGATGAGCAAGCTACAATCCAATCTATGAAGTTTGAAATCAATATAAACCAGACTGTATTGATATTTCTGATGTTGATCGCAGGCAAGACATGGAATAAACTGTTTGGAGCTTCCCCTCATTCAACACAGTCAAGGACCTGACTTGAATAGGTTACACTCTGTACTTAGTGGTACGTCCTTCAGGATTGGTTTTCTCTTCTCGCTCTCCTCAAAATCTCACTATTCTCGTTCAACTGATTCTTTCCATCTCAAATGCACGCCTATATTTTTTAGTAATTTTCAATGTACCACAGAATATTTGGAAGACTATTAATTGGCACAACCGTTTACAATCTTCTTTCCCTCTTCATTAACAGATTCTGTATTTGATTGGATCATTATAACCTCCCCTGAAGCTGGCTTGGTGTTCCTACAGGCATGGAAGTAAGGGTTAGAACTAACTCACTGGACTCTCACCTTCTTGTATGTCACACAATTTCATATGTCAAAAAAAAAAATAATAATAATAATAAATAAAAATAAAAATTGACATTTGTTAGTTTCCTAGAACTTTAAAAGGTTTGAAGTTTCATGAGTTTATTAGAAATATGTTTTAAATATTTTTCCTATTTAATTTATCAGCATTTGCATACAACTTGTTTTCTTTGTAGAGAATGTTAGGACTTTAAGAAATTCATACTCATCATACTAGTTGGTCAACTTGGTCTAGCGCTTTAGAATTTGTTGAGTAATGGATGGTTTGTTTCGAGTTACACGTGATACAATACAACTGAAGGAAACATCATATTACCATTTGATAATGTAAAATATTATATTAATGCCATTTGATAAATTATATTTTACGACATTAAATGCGTTGTTAGCACCTTTTTTCTTTAACCTGTATGTGGCTGTACGGTACATGAGCTATATCATTCTCTTTGAAATGTATTGTTGGTCAAGTGAGGCAAAACGTGTTTTTGAATTTTGTTTTATTGCTGGTCATCTCTTTCTTGCTGCTGAATAGTAATTTGCATAGTTGGTTATATATAATCATGATCCACAGTGCACTTTTTTTACAAATGACGAGCACAAACTCAAGATTGATTGATACTTTCCCATCATGTGTTCCATTAAAGCTGCTTTAGGTCATCCTTGAGTGATACCTTCACATTATGTTGTTCCTTAGGGCCGCTGGAATGCCAAAAGTTAGAATAGGTGTTGTTGGAGCTGGTACAGCTAACATTTTTGACGAAGTGTTGCAATCATCAAACTTACTTGAAGTGGCGTTTGCACCCTCAAAAGGTAAGATGTATGTCAAAATCAAGTCTCGTGCATGATGCACATATATTCATTATTTGTGGATTGCAATTGTTTGCATGATGTTAACATTTTTAGCTATATCATTTACCTACTGTCTTAAGTCAAATAAGATGATGAAAAGATCTCAAGAAGGACAGTGAAGTAGTATGGCACATCAGAACTATCAAAACAACTCCAAAGAAATATGTCAAATGCATTAGATATTATTCGTGCTGGAAATTTTTATTCTTAAATCCTCACTCTGTTATGAACGTTGTTGAACAATCACAATTTGTCAGGGGTATTTGTATCTTCGCAGCAGGCTTTTCTTTTCTTTTCTTTTCTTTTTGAGAGAACATAGACGATTTATTATTCAATGTGTGTATACATCTGGATTTGATTAGAGTAAGAATCCTTCTACAAAGATTCGTGGCTGCCCTACATATCTTTTGTTTATTATTATTCTTATTCTTATTATTGTTATTATGATGATGATGATGGTGATGATGATTATTATTTGTTAGGATGTTGTCCTGCACATACATAATTTGAAATATTTGTCCAATTATCTCTTTCAGCAATAGGCAAGGTCTTGGCTTCCGAGCTTCCGAAGTTGGGGAATACAAAGTGCAGTGTCTTATATCCTGCTTCTACCAAAGCAAGCAATGATATTGGTATGCAACGTACTTTTTTTCTTTTACACTCTTGAGAGCTATTTTCATTAGATAGAGTGGAAACAATGATCTTTCTTTTTTTTTTTTTTTCTTCTCATGCCATAACTATAAGAAATTTTATTTGAACTGGAATTATTGCTACTAAATTGTTGCTTGATGGCTTGCAGCCATCAATTGTTTAAGGTTTACTTGATTAGCCACTCTTTGTGATAAGTCCAGTTTTACTTGGACCAGTAAAACCTAATTTCCACAGCTGAAAATTCAAAATACTTTGAATTAGATTAATAACATTTTAATGGCATTCCCCTCGAATCAAGTACTGACATCTCTTTGCTTTTGATTCATGTAAAATAAAAACACAAAATACGAACAATGTGAATAATTGCCAGGTTGTTTTTGTTCTAATCACTTAAAAAATAGGGAACTTTTGTTCTGAAGAAATCTAAGGAAGAGGAAGTTATTTATTGAAGTACTTTAAATTTCAGAGATAGTGGTGCCTGAAACTTGATGCTGACTCTTGTTGCTTAAGTCAATACTTTTTCGTTTCTAGCAATATTTCATATTTCGTAGAGTGTCATCACTCTTTGTGGTAGATAGTGTATATTATTTACAAATATATTTTCCTCCTTGTTTTATGCAAACTGTAGCGGATATCTGATATTCATGTCAAGTGATTTGTTTGCAAGTATGTAGTAGCGGGCTTTTATTTGCTACTCATATTTTTTTTTTTTCAAAAATAAAGTTTTAGTATTTGGTGGTCTCACTGTTTGCAAGTATGTAGCGTTGTTCCGTCTATTATAACTAAAAGCAAAATAATGGCTTTTAAAAATAACCTTGGTATCCCTCTTTGCTATCTGTACAGAGGAAGGCCTTTCAAATCGTGGATTTGAGGTCATGAGGCTCAACACCTATACTACGGTAAAGTATTCATGTGCCTTAGTATAACACTGAAAATTTAAAGATGAACCACCCTGATTCAACATTGCATGCGTTTTTTAGAGGTGTATGCATCTACTTGATCTTGAGTGAAAATAAATATCATTTACTATGCCAATCTAGATGGAATCAGTAAAGCGAGTTACAGCATTACTAATGATAGATGCTTAAAAGAACTGTTATATGGGTCTTTCTTTACATGTACGATGCCAATCCTTGGAAATTTACAAGGAAATTGTGAAGTGCACAGCTAAATAAAAAATTAAAATTAGTTTGAATTTACACCATGTGAATAATATAAAATTAAAATTAGTTAATAAATAAAAAATTGTGAAGTGCGTAATATATATTTCCTTCCAGGAGTAGTCTTGAATCAGAATACCTTGTTCCCTGCACCATTCTCTTAGTAACCTGAACAGGCAATGTGAAACATTAGGGTCCACTCAAACATTATTGATTGGTACCCCTTTCAGGCACCTGTTGATTACGTTGATCAATTCATTCTCGAGCAAGCACGTTCGTTGCCTGTTGTCACAGTGGCTTCACCTTCTGCGATTCGGTATGAACTGTTTTTTTCTTTTTTCTTTTTTTGCATGCATCACTTTGACTATTTGATTACTTCAGTTATCTCATCCGGGGGAGAGAGAATTGTAATGTTAATTTGTTTGCTCCATCTTGGCATGGATCATGAATCTGTCGCAACAGCGCATGGGTCAACCTTATTTCAGAGCCGAAGGAGTGGGAAAAGTCACTTGCCTGTATTGGCGAAACAACTGCAGCTGCCGCAAAAAGATTAGGATTAAAAAACATATACTACCCTAAGAATCCTGGCTTGGAAGGGTAACTTATTCCGTACTTCCAACTTAACAATCGTCTAGTTGATGCATTTCTTTTCTTAGTTCAGATTCCATGCTTAACAATCTTTTCAATAGATCGAATATATTGAATGCTGAATCTACAAATTGTGATAACTGGGATGCAGGTGGGTTGATAGTATATTGGAAGCGCTAAGATCAGAAGCTCAAGTTGTTTGATCAAAGCATCTCAAACATCGGGTCGTCATGGAATGATCATCGTCCATTTGCCCAAGTTCTTCCAGGTTAGGAAAACGGAACTTTTCTCAGAAAATTAATGAACATTTTGGTTCTTCTATTCTCTTTTTTGTTAATAGAATGCAATTTGTAAATTCTCAATGAATAGGATAGGTCCGTGTAGTAAAAAAGAAAAAAAAGAAAGAGTATGATAGGTGTATCGCTCTATTGTCCAATGTCCAATTTTCTTTCTTTTGTCCTTCCTCTTAGCTTTGGTTTGAAGAAATTAAGTTTAGTAGCTCCAACTAATAAAGTTGCCAAAACTGTTTGTAATTCACCATCTAAATTAATTGCAAGATTCCTGCAGCACAGCAGCCTTCAGTTACCTTTTAAGACTTTTCAGTTACCTTTTAAGACTTTTGGGCTATAAAATTACGATCCTAGAATTTCGAAATGTCTTAGAGTTCCTAAATATGTAAAATTACGATCCTAGAATTGATCTAAATTTAGTTTTATGTTTAGCATTTTAATGAACTTTTAGCATTGGTCTATGAATTTTTAAAAACATTGAATAAGTCAAAATTCCTAATGGATATATTTTTTTTCAATTTAGTCCCGTTGTATGTGAAGTTTCTATCTAGCATATGATGTATTTACCTTTTTTAAATTTAATCCATTACTAAGGGTGAAAGTTAAAATGAATTGATGATAAATTATACAAAATAATACTTGGTAAAATGAAAGAAGAAAAATAGAGAAAAATGTTACTAAGGGCAAATTTTTTTTTAAAAATTTGGAGAAATAACTAGAAATTTATGTTATTTTTCTACGAATTCAATACAAGTTTGTTAATAATTTCAAACTCACTGAAAATGAATAAAGACTTGGAATATTGCAAATATTTTTAAAATTAGTTAACAACTACGCAAGTCTCTTAAGAATGAGGCATTTTTAAACCATTTTCAAAAATAAAAAACTAAATCTCCATTTAATATCCACTTAATATTTGAAATACTGAAAATTTTGATGGTATTCACCTAATTTTTCTTTAAAGTTCAATTTCAAAAACAAAGACAAGATTTTAAAAATTAGAGTTTCATTTGTTTGTTTTATTACCACTTCTTTATCATATTTTTATCTTTAACTGAATTCTTAGTTAAACTAAGAAAACCACAAACAAGTTTCTAAAAGCTCATTTTTTACTTTTCTAAAAATTAACTTGATTTTTGAAGACATTCTTAAAAAGTAGATATAAACCAAAAAAAAAACCCAATTAAGTAAAAATAGTATTTGTAAGCCTAATTAAAAAAAAAAAATCAAATAGTTTTCAAAACTTGGCTTTGCATTTTGAAAATACAACTTAAAAAGTCGGTAAACAAAGGAAACAATCAGTGTAAATAGAGTCTATGAAATTAATTTTTTAAAAAGCAAAAACTAAGAAAACTAAAAGCAAAATACAAATGAACAATTCAATTATTAATAAAATTCACGATGTATATAAATTAAAAATAGGACTCTATCCAACACAAAATTCAATTTTATGTAACCTTAAAAAAGAATATTGAATGGGAGACCCTGCCGATCTTTTAGACCAAATAAACAAAATTAAAATTTAAACATCCATTCACTCTACTACACAATATATCAATTGTATTAAAATTTAACCGTTCAATTTGCAACTTTTCTTGCTTCTTAATAACATCCATTTTCTGTTTGTTAAAAAATTAATTATGTTATACTGTGGAGTCTTATTGCAACTTCTCACTCATAACCTTAATTATAATCAATCATCATCAACCAACGAAATACAAAAGCTAATCTTAAAATCTATATAATATACGTTAAACTTGGCATTATTAGTTTAGGAGATTTACCTTGCGTGAAGAACACATTCATGCAATCCAACCTGATCAATATGCAAGACAAAAGGAAAAAAAAAAAAAAAAAAAAAACTAAATTTAGATATATTTCACAGACTTGATAAAAAACAAACGAATAACTTATCATCTAACTGTGACAAGATATTAAGGTTGCAACTATCTAAAACAAAAGGTTCAATCGTGTTCTGCGACTGCCACAAATTAGACTTTCTAGTGAAATTAGAATTCTAAATAAGAAGTTTTTGATGTTTCAGTTCATTAATGATGGAAAATGTCTCTAAATTTTGATGTAACAGAACATAAACAGAGATCAATGGAGAAAGGTGTAGAGAATCCTTAGATATCGAAATGATTTTAAAGGAATTAAAAGCAGGATAAAGAGAATCTTAAGAGAGTGACCTCTCTCTTATCATGATAGTTCAATGCTAGAGAAAAGTAATTCCAGTTATAGAAAGCCAAATTTGAAACTAGATCAAATTGAAGTTGATGATCAAGAAATGTAGAAGATCGAGCAAAAGAATTAGATAGAATATAAAGAAAAAACTAAAGAGATCAGTATGTACTGAGATCGATGCTATGGCATTTCACTCTCAATTTTCAAGAGAATAAAACCTCAAATTGACATCATCGATTCCTATCATGATAGTTGAATACTTAAATAAGAAACAGTGCAAAAGTAATTCTAATTACAGAAAGCCAAATTGGAAATCAGATCAAATTGAAGTTAATGATCAAAGAAATGTACAAGATTCAGCAAAAAAGAATTTGGTAGAACGTAAAGAAAAGACTTAAAAGATCGATACGTACTGAGAGATCGATTCTGTGATATTTCAGTCAATCTTCAAAAATAAAACCATTCTAAGAGAAAAGTATCATTATCATACATTCCTTTCATTACTAAGGGTTAAATACTGAATTTAGAAACAGAGCAAAAGTAAAGCCAAACTCAAATGAATTCTATAGAACGTAAAGAAAAGAAGAGAACAATGCATTCTAAGAGATTGATTCTGTCACATTTCAAACTCAAATCTCCAAGAATACAACCAGAAATTATCGTCATCAATTCCTTTTATGATAGTTGAAAACCAAATTGAGAACGGAGCGCAAAAGTAATTCCAATACAGAAAAGACAAATCTAAAATCAAATGAAAAAAAAAAGTGAGAAAACAAGATCGAGCAAAAAGAATTTGATAGAATGTAAAGAAAAGAGGAAAAAAAAAAACAACAAGTACAGAGAGAGACCGATTCTGTGACATTTCATACTCGATCTAGAAGAATAAATCCTTGAACTATCGTCATCGATAACAAAGAAGATCCGACATTGACTATGCGATGGAAATCAGTAAAAACATTTTCCGGCAGAAATTAAAGCAAAACATCAAAACAAGCAGTAAAATAAAGACTAATGAAGCAAACTAAAGGTAGAAAACCTAAGACCGGCAATGTGAACACAAATTCTTTCCTAAATGAAGAATCATAGAATGAAGGAAAGTGATAGAACCTGAAATTGAAACAGAACCAAATTAATTCCAATTACGGAAGGCCAAACTTATAAGTTATTGATCAAGAAATGCCAGAGATCCAGCAAAATGAATTCTATAGAACATAAAGAAAAGAAGAAAGAGAACGATACATTCTAAGAGATCGATTCTGACACATTTCGAACTCAAATCTTCAAGAATACAACCTCAAATTATCGTCATCGATTCTTTTTATGATAGTTGAAAACCGAATTGAGAACGGAGCGCAAAATTAATTCCAATACAGAAAATACAAATCTAAAACCAGATGAAAAAAAAGTGAGAAAACAAGATCGAGCAAAAAGAATTTGATTGAATGTAAAGAAAGAGGAAAAATAACAATAAGTACAGAGAGATCGATTCTGTGACATTTCATACTCAATCTTGAAGAATAAATCCTTGAACTATCATCATTGATAACAAAGAAGATCCGACATTGACTATGCGATGGAAACCAGTAAAAACATTTTGCGGAAGAAATTAAAGAAAAACATCAAAACAAGCAGTAAAATCAAGACTAAAGAAGCAAACTAAAGGTAGAAAACCTAAGATCGGTAATGTGAACACAAATTCTTTCCTACATGAAGAATCATAGAGAGAAGGAAAGTGATAGAACCTGAAATTGAAACAGAGCAAAAGTGATTCCAATTACGGAGTGCCAAACTTGAAGTTATTGATCAAGAAATGCAAGAGATCCAGAAAAATGAACTCTATAGAACGTAACGGAAAGAAGAAAGAGAACGATGCATTCTAAGAGATCGATTATGTTACATTTCAAACTCAATCTTCAAGAATACAACCTCGAATTATTGTCATCGATTCCTTTTGCGATAGTTGAAAAAATGAACTCAGAACGAAGAGCAACAGTAATTCCAATACAGAAAAGACAAATCTAAAACCAGATGAAAAAAAAATGAGAAAACAAGATCGAGCAAATTTTTTTTGATAGAATGTAAAGAAAAGAGGAAAAACAGACCGATCGATTCTGTGACATTTCATACTCAAACTTCAAGTATAAATCCTTGAACTATCGTCATGAGAACAAAGAAAATCTAACATTGACCATGCGATGAAAAGCAATAAAAACGCTTTCCCGAAGAAATCAAAGCAAAACATCAAAACAAGCAATAAAATCAAGACTAGTGAAGCAAACTAAAGGTATAAAACCTAAGATCGGAAATGTGAACACAAAAATTATTTCCTAAATCAAGAATCATGAAGAAGAGAAGGAAAGTGATAGAACCTAAGATTGGCGGTGAGAATACAGGGTAGAGGGAAATTTCAGATACCAGCGGTGGGAGAGAATTTGAAAGGGGCGGGAATGCTTTTATAGCCAGTTCGGCATATGAGTTCTGTGAACTAACGGGCTGGGCCTGAAAAGTAAGTAGACTATGGGCTCAATGGGCCTAAACTGACACCTACATTAATTTCCGCTGATTTTAAGGTTGTCCCCTCATACTGTAGAGGACATAAGGCTCAGTAAGTTGGCCCAACAACAGAGGAGACAGAGAATGTGGTAGAAAATTGGGGATGTGCTCTTGTTGGGTGACTGTTCCCGTAGGTGCACAAAATTTGACTAACTTTGTCATTTTAGTACAGATTGAAATTCGATCTACTAAAAAATTCTCTCTAAATGCCAGTTGATACTAAAATTTAAAATCAACATTCCGAACTTGATAGAGCAACGCTGAGAGAAAATGGCATTACAAATTTCTAATTCTGACAGCGGAAGAAGAAAAGAATAAAAAATGAGGAAAAAATATTGAAAATTACAGAATATTTGGGCTATCATAATCCGCTTACCAGCGACTCCCATCTTAGAAATCAAGCGTTGGCAGGTGGATTTTGAGAAGCTGGTTCTTCTTGCTTAGTTTCTTGCCGGGTTCGGACCGCCATTGTCCTTGTCGGAAGAGAGGCGGCGGGGGAGACATTGACCCTCGGCGGTGTCGGGCTGATCCTTCCGTCAATGCAAGAGGAGCATTTCGTCTCCGCCCAGCTCTCCAAGTAGAAATGGCCGTAGCCCATTATGCTCATACCCGATCACAGCCGCCCAACCACGACAGCGACCACGGCAAACACAATAATGACGACGAGGACTCCGATGACCGGACCGACGGAGCCGCTTCCGGGATGGCCGCCGTAAGGTGGCAGCATTCCCGTCGCCGGCGGAGATTGTTGTTCAATTGGGAGTGACATTTGACCGGAGCAAGATCTGTAATGTAATGCTCCGGCAGCAGCCACGGGATTTACTCCTGTAATGGCGAGAGATACCCGGAGCTCGAAAAAGATGGAGTGAAGAAGAAGAGAAAAGCAAAGATACTGCTAAGAGTGAGCAGTGGAGAAAAAGGATGGTTCTTTCACTGTAATTTTGATGGAAACAATAAGCCCCCGAGCACTATAAAAGGACGAACGGAAAAAGGCAATGTAATCAGAAAAGATGGAATCTTTAGGAGTGTTAAGAGTCCAATCTCTTTCCCAGATTATGCCCTTTTTTGCTGTTTAAATAATAAATAAACAAATTGTCAAATGACCCAAGTGAGCTATTTACAGGGCTATTCTTGATCAAAAGTTACTGTTTTTTAACAAGAAAATGGATAAACAGACAAATAAGAATTGCAGCAGAGCATATTTTTATGGAATCTGTCGAGGCCTACAGAAACTGGCTACGTAGAATCGGCTGAAATGGCTCAGTACTGTCACGTGAAGCCTCTGCAGATTGTCAACCAGCTGATTTAAAAACTTTCTAATCTTTTTCTTTTGCTTATAACTTCCAAGAACTCAGCCATGGAGTGCGGGTATCAGAGAAGAAAATGAATAGCATTTACCTGTTGATAAAGTTTATAGAATTCATTCCGACAGCGTCTTCAGTGATCAGTCCTTGATCTTGAAATGGTTTAATTTCTTGGAACACAGAAATTTAAGTCTACCAGGCAAGAAAAAGAAAAAGGGAGCTGAAACAAAACTGAGATGTCAAGGTCATTTAATGGCATCTTGCCTTCTGGTGAGTTGCATTGACGCGAGCAGTGAGTGCCAATAAAAACTAACTATGTACAGATCCAAATCTAATCCTGCTTACAGAATGTGTACAAAAAGAATGCTTGTATCCTCTTCTTTTCCTAGTACCATCTTCCAAGGGAGATATTTTTCTACAAGTACAAAAAATACATCGCAGAGGCGATTGCTCGAACATTGGCAAACACCTCAAGCTTGATGGTCTCTAAGACCTATGAGAGTTTGTTCAAGAAAGAACGAGTTTTGTCGTTAAAACAGGCAGAGGGAACGATGATCTCTATCCCAGCTCCTGGGGCCTTCTGCAGAGGGTGGCTAACTTCCTCGGTCGAGTATTTGCCTGTAAATATCCACAACTGTAGCTCAGAGGTGAGGCACTTCCCTTTTATGAGTCCTTGAAACAGCAAAGGGATGGTTGTTAACGGCACTGGCAGGAATATTGCTTGAAATGTTCGTTGAAGGGCTGAGATACGATGGTAAGAAGGGGAGTCAGTTGCAAGGAAGACTAGCAAGAACTGACACCAAGATTTACAAGCTTGTGCTTCATCATTACATGGTTCATAAGTGAATGAGCAAGAGCTTAGTATAGCTACCTACGGCACGACAGATAAACATTTTCAGCCAAAGTTCCAGAAGAGTTTTGCGCCTGATCTCCTTTGGGACTACGGTGGTCCTTCGGACTCAAGAGTTTTTCCTAAGAGAGCATAGAATATGAAAATTAATGAGATGTTTCTACGCATAACCTTATAAAGAATGTATAAAAAGAAAAACTAACCATGCGGTTCATTGTCAAAAATGCAGACGTGGGGGTTGAAATATTCGAGTCATTTGAGGATCTTAAGAAAGGATGGTCAAGGAGCGCCATGGCTGTTGGTCTGTCAGCTGGATTCCTTTGAAAGCAGCACTGGAGGAAGTCTTTCCCTTCTGGAGATAGCTTTTCCGGGACAGGCGGGGTTTTATTCAACACCTTGAACATGGCTTGATGCTGAAAAGTTCATATATCATTGTCGATATGTCAATCGATACGAATAAAGCTTCTTGAAAGGTCTAGAAAATAGAAAGAATGAAAACGAGATAACAGGCTCACCCCTTCAAACTCACTCCACGGAGGTTTTCCATCCAGCATTTCAATTATGGCGCAACCCAGACTCCAAATGTCAACTGCCAAAGCAAGATTAGGGTTGGCATCTTTCAACATAGCAGCCTTCATGACCTGAAATGAATTCAACGAGTTAAAGAGAACATGCTGTTTAAAAAATTCACGTCGGCCATGACACATACCTCCGGAGCCATCCAGTACGGACTACCCTTCAAAGAAAGATCATATTGCCCTGTCAGCTGAGTGGAGAAAAAACGAGTTTCATAACTATTAGAACATTTATGAAAAGCATAGCACATTCGGAGTTCAAAAGTGGATGCAATGACCAAAGTTCACTGCAAAAAGATGATATTCATTAGTACTCAAAAACTCACATGTTTTGCCATCCCGAAATCTGCAAGTTTGACAACGCCCGACGAGTCAACTAACAAGTTTGCACCTTTGATATCCCTATAGAAAGCACAATAAAATGGAAAGAATCAACAGTGGGAATGACAAACTTATCACAGAGATTATCTGTCTGTAGAAGAAAAAAAATTTCTTGCACCTGTGGATTGTTTTTGTGCTATGCAAGTAAGCCAGTCCAGAGAGAATATGTCGGGTGAAATTGCGAACAATAGATTCTGTAATGGCTCCACAACGTTCACGAACGTATTTGTTTATCGACCCGGGATAAACATACTCCAAATATATATAGAAATGATCATCGATCTACATTTCAAAAATAAACCCAAATTTTAGAGTTGTCAAAAGTGATGGAATTAATTCCTGATACAGAAAAGTAAGACAGAACACTTACTATTTCGCTTCCATAATACTGCACAATATTTGGATGCTTAAGTTGACTGAGAACTTTAATCTCCTGAGACAAGAAAGGATTCCATAAGATTGCTCGTAAACGACATCTCCGTTGTCAAGAATTTCTCTTGCAATGACAGCAGATCTTCAGGACAGACATATGCTCACTAAATAGAATTCGAGAAAGTAGACGACTCAATACCTGCTCTAGTTGCTTTATACTTTCAGCACATTTAGGATCATCAGGAATGAGGTCAACTTCTTTCATTGCGCATAAAGCTCCAGTTTCACTAGAAAGTATGAAAGTATAACTATGAGGATAACTTTATTAAACACTTAATTACACATATAACAATAGTGCTAAGCTTAGATCATACCTGTTGGTTGCAAGATATACACTTCCAAACGTACCACGTCCAATGAGCTTTCCTTTTTGCCACCGACTTTTCGTAGATGAAATGTATGGCTTCTCATTAACATGATGAACGCTCGACGAAAGGGACTGTGGAGATGATTGTGAAGAGTGTGCTAATGGAGGAGGAAGTGGCAATGGATGAGCATTGACATGACCGAGGTTTTCAGACCAATCTGTACTACTATCTTTTTGTAACTTAGAATGCGTCGGAAATTTCACATCGTTAGGAGATTTGGGATTGCTTACGAAACTTCGAGCGGACGGGCTATGGAGAGGAGAAGGTTGAGAAGTGTGTGGAGTCTTAAGGGGTGGGACTCTGGGAGAATTATTGAAAGGAGATTCCTGATAGTCATGGCGAGGCAAACCAGAAACGAAAAGATCTCCAGTATATGATCTTCGTGGGCTAGCGGTCGGACTCGGTAAAATGCTTGTTGGGGCACTCTTTGACGACAAAGTCTTAGGTGTCAAACTGTAGTTACCCCTTCGAATACTGGGATGAGTTGGGGATCCCCTGACTTTGCTGTTTGGAGGCTGATCCAAACAACTAAAAACAAACTCCTTAATCGAAATGGATTTACCTGAGTTCACAGAGGGACTATGAGGGCTTGTAAATGTGTTAGCCCCAGTTCCTCCTGTATTGCCATTAACAACTTCCAACTTACAATCTGTAGCAACTCGCCTTTGATTGTTGCCCAGACCTCCATTTACATTCGTTGTTGCACGATCAGAGCTCTTCCTAACAGTTTAAATAGCAGAATTACTAACAGAAACAAATTATAACCAAAACTGGTTGGAGAGCAAAACAAATAGAACAAAATCAAATGGTTTATGGGTCCAAAAAACCCAAAATAGAGCAAAATCCATTTTCCCGGTTATGATATAGAATAAAAAGATAACAGAAACCGAAGGAAGTTAAACGAAAATTTCATCAGTTAGTAGGACAAAAGTCAAGTCAAAACATGAGAAAGCTCACCGGACAGGAGTTTCAATAGGCGAGACCACACGGCCTTGGCTAGCAAACCAAGAATCGGACTCTGGATTCCGAACCGGAAATAACTCCGGCAGAGGCAAAGGCTGGGGCAAAGGCGACGAGGACCAACGTTCGGAACCCCCAAGAGGCGATCTAGGCTTTGCAGATAAATCAGGGGAATCGGGAAATGATCGGGGGAGTTCAACGCCAATTTCTCGATCCGTAAGATGCCGGAGCTTCCTCTGTCTGGTGAGCCGCCGCTGAACAAGCGATTCGGTTTGAACAACGGAAAAATCAGAATCGGCCGCCTTCTGTTGAAGCCGAGAATTTGAAGCGCTTTTGTGAAAGAAAGGCATCTAGCTAAGCTGATGGCGGTTTCCAGGCCGGTGCCGCAGCCCGCCGGTTACATGTGCATAATCTCACCGACCTTTTCCATTTATTTTCCCCAGAAAAAGTAAAAAACGAAAAAAAAGAAAAAGTCCCTAAATGGCTTTAACCAGATTTATCGCTGGTTTGATTATCTTAAGAATCGCCTAATGTTATTTATTTTTTTTCTTGTTCCTTCGTTTTTTTCTTAAAATAAAATGTTTTGGGATTTGAAAAATCAATAATGGGAAATTCAGATATGGGAGCGACGACAACTTATTTGCTAGGCTCCTAATAAAACGACATGTTGACTTAAAAAAAGTATTAAAATTTGGAAATTGTTAAATTACGGAAGTAGGTCAAAGTTGGTAAGTCCAAAGACAGCGTGTGCGTACGGATGGGATCAAAAAGTCATGGAGGGTATGGCCAAAAATTGTATTGTTTTACCAACGATAGCGCGTGGGATACACTTGACCTTGGAAATTGGAGAGTGTCGTTGACGCGTCCGACAGGGAGGGGAGAGGTAGAATACAGATGGCATTGGTCTTTCTGGCGCGTTCACATCACGTGCCACGTCATCTCCAGGTTTTCTATTATTGACTGAGTCGCAGATACCGAGTCAAAGACTCGGTCCTTTCTTTTTCCTTTTATTCAGTTGTATTAATAATATATTGATTTCTCAAGACTTAGTTGCTCCTTTCAATCAATTTCATAAAATTAAAATATTCAATAATAATAATAATAATGTTGTGAATTAAATTACTCTCAATCTTTGCATCTCCCACGAAAATAAGTTGATAGAGATATAAACGATCAAATCCAATAAATGAAATAGAGATTTTCCCTTCGGAACTTTACTCAAGATCTTTAAAACGCATTTAAGGGAGAGGTTATCATACTCTTATAAAAAATATTTAGTTCTCCACCCTGACCGATGTGGGATCCCACAATCTACCCCATTGGAGGCACAACATCCTTGAATACTTCAAGCTCTTCTTCATTCGATGTGAGATCTCACATTATTTTTCGATCATAGGAGAATAATTTAAGAGAGGTTATCATACTCTTATAAGAAAGGTTTCGTTCTCCTCTCTGACCGATGTGGGATCTCACAATCTACCCCATTGGAGGCACAACATCCTTGAATGCTTCAAGCTCTTCTCCATTCGATGTGAGATCTCACATTATTTTTCGATCATAGGAGAGTAAATTTTATTTTTCGTTCTTATTTTTACCAACGGTCACGGTCGTACATATTCAACTATGAGGACTCAAACCTCATTTACATTTTTCAGATTTTGTGATTTACTTTCTTTCCCAAGTTTTTAGAATTTATGCAAGTTTTTAAAATTAACAAAAAAAAATAAATTGTTTTTAGAATTTAGTAAAGAGTTCATATGTTAGGTTGTCCACCTTAAGAAAGAGGAAGAAAACAAAATGAAACTAAATACAATTTTCAAAAGAGATCAAACAGTCTCCCACAAACAGAACACCAAGAACACCGTAAGAACACCATATGAAACCAGATATAGATAATACACATAATATTCAAAGGGCATGCTGCTAAAACATGCCTTCAGCAGCAAAAAGTAAGCGTTACTACATTGTTGCAGCTATTTAGGTTTATTCTCCAGCGCCACTCTATTGTGTAACAATTCAATGGACAAGAGGGTTCAACACCTGTCCAGTGAAAAGCACAGTTCCTGTCTTGTCTTCCCTGATCAAAAACAAGAACGGCCGGTTGGCAACAAAATCGATTATATCTCCAAAAGCCATGCTCCTATACGCTATGACAGCAGCTGAAGCAGCGGCAGCTTCTGTGCCTTCTTCATTAACCTCAATAAACGCCTTATGGAATATCTTTGAAACATGAAGGCCTTGAGCCAATGGGGAGTCCACCATTTCCAACAACCCTCCTTCAGTGAAAGGTAACACCAATCCTAACCCCTTTAAAACATTGGAAACTTCAATCCCAAAGGAAAATTTAAACTTCGGAACCTTGAATTCCCCCACTTTAACCTTCTCATATGGAATGTGGCTGTCGATGAACCCGGACTGGGAATCTAACTTTTCAATCAAATGTGGCAACCCATCCTTCGAATCTGGGAGAAAAATGTACATAGAAAAACGACGTGGGTCAGATCCTTGTTTGTATGGCAATGCAAGAACCTTAAATCCATTGAAGGCGGCTACATATTGCTTCTTCTTGCTGGTCATAAAGGGCACCTCAACTGACTTCCCATCAAGAAGGTAGAACTCACGCTTCTCTGTTTTTGAAGCATCAAATTCCTCTTCCCATGCCCCTTTGAAGTAGAGTGCATTCGCAAGGATGAGCTTAGAGAGGCTATCAATTGATCCAGGGGGAAGAAGCTCTGTGATAAGTCCATTAGTCTGTTTTTCAGCCCATGAGTTCACTTCTGAAATCACTTCAACGGTCTTTCAATTCAACCAAAGAAATGATAAACAACATCATCAAACACTTTCCAAATAATTTTCCTTAAATTTTCATGTTCTATGTTAGATTACATATTCAGCAGAGGCATCAGCAAAAGAAAAGATGTAAGCAGTACGAAAGAACAAAAAATGTCAATAGAAAAACGTAGCCCTAAATGATTCCCAATTTAATTCCAATTATGAGTACGAAATCAAACAGCCGTAGAAAGAAGAGTGTCTCAATCACCTTAGTCTTGAAATCGGCTTGACAGAGCAAGGCCTTATAAACAGTGTCGACAACCTGTTGGAAAGAAGGCTTGAGAGAAAGCGATTGATCGACCCAGACGCCATTTGCAAAGGCGAGGCGAGGTCCGCCGCTGGGAGAGGCATCGGCGAAGACCGTGGCTACGATTTGAGAAGCGAAGGAGTTGAGATTGTCGGTGGAGTCCGATTTGAGGAAGGACAGAAGTTGATCCAGCGGGGGGCCCTTGGAACCAGCAGCGACAAGGCTGAGAAGCACATGGATTGACAAGGGCGAGAGGATAACGTTGGAGGCCTTGGCTTCCTGTTGGAGAAGGTGCTTGGTGACGGCCAGGGTAACGTCGCCCTGGCTTCTAATTGTTTCTCTGATGTCCATTTCCGGCAGCAGTAGAACGGTTTCGAGATCGATGAATCACGAATTTCGAAGTCAAGTTCTTCAGTAAATGAGAATTTAATGAAAGCGTGAAATCGACGAAGGGATGAGACCGACAAAACAGAGCACCTTGGTCGCCGAACTTGGCTTTTGACCCGTATCTCACGTGCGTTGCGCGTGGAGAATATGCTTGCGTGATGGTTAGATGAGGTTTCATCTTTTTTATTATTTTCCTAAAATTAATTTTTTTACCAATAAATTTACTAGCTTGTATCAATATGTTAAAATCCACTAGCTTGTATTAATTTGGAGTTTATTTATGTTTTTTTACCAATAAATTTAATAAATTTACTAATGGTATAATATTTTCAACATGAAACATAAATAAACTTTCGATTTTTTAAAAAATACAGTATTCTTACTTATAATTTCATCGTCTTCTTGAAACTTCCCCTTTCAATAATACTCTTAGTTTTAGTAAATTTAATATTAATATTCTTACCATTAATAAAGTTAAAATTTAATTAATGTGTTAATAAGAGACAAATGATGCAATATCTATCCTCAGAAGTGTGAATAGATATAAAAGATTTAAGAATAGATACAATCGAACAATCTCCTTGATATTCACAACCTTTAAATAGATACAAGATACCAACTAATACCTACAAAAATAAGAAAATATAAACTAACTAAATCTTGAAAATAAAATAAAATATAATACTACTATTCAAATTTAACTTAAGAATATTTAAGATATATTTTCTAATAAAATATTCTACCAATATCTAAGATATATTTTTTAATAAAATATTCTTCAAAATTATTAATATTATATATTTCATAACTAATTAAATTCTTGCTAGAAAAAAGATGTTGGTTGTTACTGTGAACTTGCTCCTATCAAAAGACAAGACTGGCAAAGATCTTCGTTGTTACTAAGGTTGAACTTGTAGCACATGCTTAATAATAATAAATGCATTATTTAGAGACAAGAGGATTTAGCAGTTTCTTTCTCCAATCGATGTGCGATCCCCACCAAATCCACCATTTTCAGAGCTCAACGTCCTTGTTGGAACATCACCTCATATTCACTCCCTTCGAGAATTAGCCTCTTTGTTGGCACATCACCTCATGTTCGCCCCTCTTCGAAGCTCATAACACATAACCCGATGTCTGGCTCTGATACCATTTGTAATGTCTCAGGCCCACCGCTATAAGATATTGTTCTCTTTGGACTTTCGCTTTTGGGCTTTAATAAAGTTTTTTCAAATGCGTCTATTAGGAAAAGGTTTATACCCGTATAAAAGTGTTTCGTTTTAATAGGATCTTACTATACATAACTCCTTCGTCTATACGAAAATAATGATATTTTAAAAATAAATATCCAGAGTTGAGTGTGATTTCACCAAATGTGTGAATTTGAATATGATTTTCATTAAATTCCAATACCGTTGAGTTGAGTATGAAGAGGGGTGTCACCTTAGTCTTGAAATCGGCTTGAGAGAGAGTGGCTTTGTAAGCATTTTGGACAAGGTGTTTGAAAGAAGGCTTGAGCGCAAGTGATAGATCAACCAACCCAAGCTCCATTGGCGAACAAAAGGCGAGGCCCACCGGTGAGAGAGCCATCAGCCAAGACCATGGACGCGATTTGAGAAGTAAAATGGTTGAGTTGGTCAATGGAGTTGTATTTGAGGAATGAAAGAAGCTGATCCAGAGTGGGGCCATTAGAGCCAGCAGCAATAAGGCTGAGCAAAACATGGATCGACAATGGCGAAAACACAACGTTGGAGTTCTTGCCTTCGCTTTGGAGAAGCCGCTTGGTGATGGTCATGGCCACGTCGGCATGGCTTCTGTCTGGTTTTGTGATGTCCATCAGAGAAAACACAACTCAATGAAATACTATATTAGTGCTTGTTTGCTTTATAGTAGGGGTGATTGGAATCTCTCATATTTCAAATTGACATTTAATGAATAATAATTAAGCAGAAAATATCCCCAAAAGAAACTCTTTTGTTAAAAACAGTAATTCTTATCTTCTCTACTTTAGTTTTTATTCAAATTTAATACAATCAAGAAAAATATTAAATTATTTATGCATGCTTATTTTTATAAATGAACAAAAACTTGTAAACGATATCTATAAATTAAGATCTTGACACACTGATTGAAAATGTACGACTATGACACGGTGTAATTCTCGTAGCTTCTAAATAGTCTCAAAGAAAGGTTCGTATTTTAAAAAAATGCCCAAAACTTATCTTTCTACTTCCATAATGTTATTGAACTAAATAACTAACAATTTAAACATATTTCAACAAACAAGGTGTAAAACAAGAAATAACACCATATGGGTATCACATGAAATATGTTATAGATAATACTTATAATATTCATAGGATATGCTAAAACATTCCTCGAAGTGTTAGCTAGATTTTATTGCAGCTATTTAGGTTTATTCTTTAGCTCCAGTCTATTGGTATTATTCAATCCACAAGAGGGTTTAACACCTGCCCGATGAAAAGCAAAGTTCCTGATTTGTCTTCCCTGATCAAATACAAGAACGGGCGGTTGGCAATGAAGTCTATTCTATTTAAAGGCAAGCTTACTATTCCTACAGTAACAGCTGAAGAAGCTGCAGCTTTTGTGCCTTCTTCATCAACCTCAATAAACGCCTTGTGGAATATGTTAGAAACACTAAGGTTTTGAGCCACTGGGGACTCCACCATTCCTAACAACCCTCCTTCAGTAAATGGTAACACCAATCCTAACTTCTTTAAAACATCGGAAACTTCAATCCCAAAGGAAATTTTAAACTTTGGAATCAAAAATCCCCCCAGCTCTTGTTTTTTACATGGAATGTGGCGGTCGATGAACCCAGGCTCAGAATCTAACTTTTCAATCAAACTTGCCAGTCCATCCTTCCGATCTGGGAGAAAGAAGTACATAGAAAAACGACGAGGGTCAGGACCTTGACTGTACGGCAATGCAAGAACCTTAAACCCATCGAACACAGCTACATATTGGTCCTTCTCACCGGACATAAAGGGTGCTTTAACTGAGCTCCCATCAATAAGGTAGAAATCACGCTTCATTGTTATCGAAGCATCAAATGCCTGCTGCCATGCCGCTTTGAAGTAGAGTGCATTCGCAAGGATGAGCTGAGTGGAACTACCCACTGATCCAGCGGGAAGAATCTCTCTGATAAGTCCATACGTGTTTTTTTCAACCCATGAGTTCACTTCCGAAATCACTTCATTAGCCTAAAAACAACCATCTATCAATAAGCATTCACATGGACATAAAAAGAGCCATTATTTACTATGACAACTCTTGGCCTTTCATCTTCAACTCGTGTCCTTTCACTTTTTCAACTAACTTTTGAATTTAAAATGGTTTGGAGAAGGATAGCTATACTAATTACGATTTTACAAAAATAAAATTTCAGTTAATTTCCTTTTACTGATCTCATCTTTTACGGAATCTATCCCCTTTTGACGGTACAAGAATATGTGGAGCTCGGCATGTCTGGAAGCACAGGAGAACATTCTTTTGTTGATATTATCACTAGTATTTGATACTAGGTCATTCATAGCATTACTATACCTTCTCTATTCATTGCATGTTGGTTATTCGTCAGCACGGGTTTAGCTTACGATGTTTTTGGAAGCCCTCGTTCAAATGAGTATTTTACAGAGAGCCGACAAGGAATTCTATTAATAACTGGTCGTTTTGATTCTTTGGAACAACTCGATGAATTTAATAGATCTTTTTAGGAGGAAAAAATGACTATCTATAAAAGTTATCCTATTTTTACTGGGATGGTTGGCTGTTCACGGACTAACTGTACCTACTAACTAAAGAAAAATATCATTTAATGTTTAATTAACAGGCTTCACTTTCGAGATCATTTAATTAGCCTTTCAATACAACCAAAGAAATGATAAAAATGTATAGATAGAAATCAAAGAGCGAAAGAAGGAAGAGTGTATCAATCACCTTAGTCAGGAAATCGACTTGACGGAGCTCGGCCTTGTAATATTTGTCCACAACCTGTTGGAAAGAAGACTTGAGAGAAAGTGACTGATCGATCCAAACGCCGTTGACAAACGCGAGGCGAGGTCCGCCGCAGGAAGACGCATCGGCGAAGACCTTGTCTATGATATGAGAAGCGAAGGCGTTGAGGTTGTCGATGGAGTTTGATTTGAGGAAGGACAGAAGTTGATCCAGCGGGCGGCCCTTGGAGCCGGCAGCGACAAGGCTGAGAAGCACGTAGATTGACAAGGGGGATATCACAACGTTGGAACCCTTGGCTTCGTCGTGTTGGAGAATGCGCTTGGTGATGGCCATGGCGACGTCGCCATGGTTTCTGATTGCTTCTCTGATGTCCATTTCCGGCAGCTGGAGAGTGGGTTCGAGATCGATGAATCAAGTCGTTCAGTAGTTGAGATGGGATGGAAAAATCAGTGCATGAGGTTGGGGGCTAAATAATCAAGGAAGGGGCCCACCTTAGCACCTTGGTCGCCGACTGTCTTTTCACCCGCATCTCACGTGCGTTGCGCATGGAGAATATTTGACCATAAATTCACTTCGAGTATGATTCTATTTTCGCATTAAAAAAATGAGTTTAGGTGATTTTAATAAATTTTAAATTATTTTTTTATCAAAAATTTATTATATAGTTTTAATAATTTTCATGTAACATGTGACTCATTCTTTCTTCTATTCTAGTTCCTGATCGTTAGTGATTCATTCGGCAAAGATTTTAATGTTAAGATCAATAGATTGATATAAAATTTGTTACAAAACGTGGGTTAGCTTAGGAGAAGTTTTNTTTTTTTTTTTTTTTTTTTTTTTTTTTTTTTTTTTTTTCATCAATGTCACCAAACTTTTTTTTCAAAGATTCAAATTCTTAAAATCAAGTCAAAATGTTCCAAATATGTGAAAGATAATTTATTCAAAAAAGAAATGTTAGAATAATTTAAAAATGGAATATTTAAAAATTGTAGGAGAAGATTATTTATTCGAGCAACACTTTTATTTAGTTAATTGGCCTAGATTGTATTATAATAATTATTTATTAAAAATTAATAAATAAATAAATAATACATGAGAATTAAACAAATACAGTTATAATTGACTTTAATCATAGAGTTTTAAATATATATATATTACCAAAATTTATGAAGTGTTGATAAATTTTAATAATGGTGGTTTAATAAGAAAAAAGTATATGATGTTTTTAAATAATAGTAATCAAAATATTTTGATATTTGATTAACATAATTGATTATAACATAAGGTATGATTGACTAAATTGCAATCTGATTAATGGATTATAATAATAGAAATGTATGATTTAAATGTTTTTTAAAAACATTTTTAATTATTACCATAACACTACTTAGAGATTAAGATTTAAATTTTAATTTTATACTAGGAGTTATAATACCTTAACCAATCAAATTATATTATATTGCATCCACATGTAATTACGGAAAAAATTCAACTATATTATTTAATATTACTCATCTTTCATATATTAAATTCTATCTATATGGTGGGTATGGGAAAGTTTATGGCTGACCAATATTTGAATTTTATAGATAATAATATTTTAGTTTTTAAAAGTTTACACTTAAATTTTTCAAATAATCAAAAGAATACCTTTAATTTTTTTTTTTTAAAAAAAAATTAAAATATCTTTACCATTAGTTTGGGATGGATGAAAATAGTTAATAACTTGTTTTAAAAATACATTTAATTTATAAAAAAAAATTCAAAAATACTTTTTAATTTTCAAATTGAACCTCTTTAAAAAAAACTTAAAAAATATCTTTAAACTTAAAAAATATCCGTAAAAGAATGAGTAATTCTTATCTTCTCTAGTTTGGTTTTTATTCCAATTTAATATAATCAAGAAAAATATTAAATTATTTATGCATGCTTATTTTTATAAAAGAACAAAAATTTGTAAATGAAAGGGAAGTATACTTCCTACAACCCAAGCTCGCCACTGATAGATATTATTTTAGTCTGTTATATATTGTCGTTAGCCTCACGGTTTTAAAATGCGTCTACCAAAGAGAGGTTTTCACACCGTTAGAAAGAATGTTTTGTTCCCCTCACCCCCCAATGTCCTCACTAGCAAGCTTTGATACTATTTGTAACGGCTCAAGCCTACCGCTAGGAGATATTGTTATCTTTGAACTTTCCTCTTCGGGTTTTGCTTTTAATTTTCCAAAATGGCTCGTACTAATGAAGATGTATTCCTTATTATAAATTCATGATCATTCCCTTAATTATTCAATGTGGGACCCCCCACCAGTAAGTCAGACATCAGGCAGTGTGTCAACGAAAACGTTAGGCCCCAAAGGAAGATGGGTTGTGAGATCCCACATGGATTGGAGAGGAAAACGAAACATTTTTCATAAGGGTATGGAAACCTCTATGGAGTAAAGATGTCTTAAAAACTTTAAAAGAAAGAGCTTAAAAGTAAAAGTTATAAAGTACCATATCTATTAGCGATGGATTTGGAAGATGGTTCATATTTAAAAAAATGCTCTTAAATTTAGTTCCGGTGCTTGAATTTAGGACTATAGGGGAAAGGTTTTAAGAGTTCTAAAATTTACCCAATCCTAGCTAGCTTCTTCTGTGTTCTTCCTTGAGATCAACGTGACCAAACTATTTATTTAAATTCCTCGAAAATCAAATCTCTAAGATATCAAGTTAAAATGTTCCAAATATGCTCACGAATTTACGAAAGGTAATTTATTCAAAGAAGAAACTTAGACAAGATCGTTAGAATAATTTAAAGATATAATATTTTTAAATTGTAGGAGAAGATAGGTTGAAAGTCAAAAAAAAAAAAAAAAATAATAATAATAATAATAATAATAATATATATATATATATATATATATATATATATATTAATTTATTGGTAACAAAACCTTTGAAAATAACTTGAATAACATAAACTATCCCTTATAGTTAGATTTTGTATTCTTTTTGTAAATAAGTTTAAATTTTGTATTCTTTTTGGTATGTCTTTTAAACCACACAAAATTTTACCGTAGTTTCTCACCTTTTTAATGTTTTGTTTTATTTTGATTATGTTTTTGTTTGTGTTTGATTTTCGTCTTTTCATCGTAGTCTGATTTCTCGACATCCCGAAAGTTGGGTTGTGAAATGTCTCGTCTACTCTTCAATACCCACTCTGTGTGGTGTGTTAGATGATACTCCGTTCTTTTAGGTCGTATCATGACACTCGTCTAAGTTCTCGCATGGCTAGATGGACGCTACATGAGGGTCGCCGCTTCTCTTGTCGTAACGTGAGAGTCACAACCTACTCTATTTATAGTAAGTTTGTGATATTCTCCTCACTCAAAGGTCGTCCTTAATAACTTACTTAAGGCACAATCACTCCATAGATTATGACACGGTGCTACGTACACACGTAGCAAAAAGATGAGAGTGCCTAAAACTTATCTCCTACTTTAATTTATACAAATGATGTTAAATTAACGAGAAAAATTTGTGAAACACAGCTGAGCAAAGCAAACATAAAACATGCAACAAATTGTAAAACAAGAAATTACACATAAAGATCACTATGCAAAACATGTTATAGATAATACATATAAATATTCATATGACATGCTAAAACATGCCTTTGGTAGCATTAAGTGTTACTACATTTTATTGGAGCGATTTAGGTTCATTCTTTACGATTGTGATTATTCAATCTTCAAGAGGGTTTAACACCTGCCCAATAAAAAGTAAAGTTCCTGACTTATCTTCCCTAATTAAGTACAAGAATGGGTGATTGGCAACGAACTGTATCAAACCTATAGGCGCTCTCATAAGTCGTATAACAGCAGCTGAAGAAGCTGCAGCTTCTGTGCCTTCTTCATTAGCCTCAATAAACGCCTTGTGGAATATTTTAGAAACACGAAGCTTTTGAGCCATTGGGGGATCCACCATTTCTAGCAACCCTCCTTCAGAGAAAGGCAGCGCCAATCCTAGCTTCTTTAAAACATCGGAAACTTCAATCCCAAAGGAAATTTTAAACTTTGGAATCATAAATCTCCCCAGCTCATGTTTTTTACGTGGAATGTGGCGGTCGATGAACCCAGGCTCAGAATCTAACTTTTCAATCAAACTTGCCAGTCCATCCTTGCTATCTGGGAGAAAGAAGTACATAGAAAAACGACGTGGGTCAGAACCTTGACTGTACGGCAATGCAAGAACCTTAAACCCATCGAACACAGCTACATATTGGTCCTCCTTGTCGGTCATAAAGGGCGCTTCAACTGAGCTCCCATCAACAAGGTAGAAATCACGCTTCACTGTTTTCGAAGCATCAAACTTCTTCTCCCATGCCCCTTAGAAGTAGAGTGCGTTCGCAAGGATGAGCCTAGTGAAACAGTCCACTGATCCAGGGGGAAGAATCTCTTTGATAAGTCCATTAGTGTTTTTTTCAACCCATGAGTTCACTAAAGAGATCACTTTATCCGCCTTTCCATAGAAACGTTAAAAGATATTTAGTACTAAATTAAGATATTTTGATATTTTATGTAAGAAAAGATATCTAGATATTTGTTTAATCTTTCTAATTATTACTCTTTATTTACAGTTATTTAATTATAAATAAATAACTCTCACATCATTTAAATGGGTAGATTAAACAAACATTCCTAACAGTAAATCAATCACCTGTTGAAAATTGACTTGACTGAGCATAGCATTGTAATATTTGTCCACAACCTGTTGGAAAGAAGGCTTGAGAGAAAGTGATTGATCGATCCAAACGCCATTGGCAAATGCGAGGCGAGGTCCGCCGCAGGAAGAGGCATCAGCAAAAACCTTGTCTATGATATGAGAAGCGAAGGCGTTGAGGTTGTCGATGGAGTTTGATTTGAGGAAGGACAGAAGTTGATCCAGCGGGGGGCCCTTGGAGCCGGCAGCGACAAGGCTGAGAAGCACGTAGATTGACAAGGGGGATATCACAACGTTGGAACCCTTGGCTTCGTCGTGTTGGAGAATGCGCTTGGTGATGGCCATGGCGACGTCGCCATGGTTTCTGATTGCTTCTTTCATGTCCATTTCCGGCAACAGGAGAGTGGGTTCGAGATCGATGAATCAAGTCGTTCAGTAGTTGAGATGGGATGTAAAAATCAGTGCATGAGGTTGGGGGTTAAATAATAAAGGAAGGGGCCCACCTTAGTACCTTGGTCGCCTACTGACTTTTGACTCACATCTCACGTGCGTTGCGCATGCAGAATATGCTTGGGCGATGGGCGAGTGAAGTGAGGTTCCCTTAATCTTTTATTCTTTTCTTAAAATTAAATTTTGACCATAAAATACTACAGATTTTATCGGTTCGATGTTTTTAATAAATTTTAAATTAGTTTTTATTGAAAAATTGTTATACGGTGATAATAATTTTCATATTCTTCCGTTATTCGTTTCTTCCACTTTGATCGTCAATTTTTAGTAATTCATTCTGCAACAAACTTAGTAATGTTAAGACCCATCGATTGATATAAGATTTGCTCCGAAACATAGATTAACTAAGTATAACTTGACTCTAGAGGAAAGTTTATAAAAATTCTAAAACTATTATGTAAATCAAATCTTTAAGATATCAAGTTAAAATGTTTCAAATATGCTCGCGAATTTAGGAAAGGTAGTTTATTAAACAAAGAAACTTTAAAAAGATTGTTAGAATAATTTAAAGATAGAATATTTTTAAATGGTAGAACCAGATATGTTGAAAGTCTTTAAAAAAAAAAAATAATAATAATAATAATCATGAAGAAAAGATAAGTTAATATGTCGTTGATTAATACGTTAACAAGAGAAAGAAAGGTGGTCTCATTTTTCCTATGTTACATAAATATTTAAAAGACTACCATGAGTGAAAATAAATTAAACTATACCCATATAATAATGATTATTTAATATTAATACATTGATTATTTAAGTTATATTATTATTATTCATTTCTCATATATTTAAATCTTATCTATATCATGGATATTGAAAAGTAAAGTTTTTATCTAAAAAAATATCCTTAAATCTTTATAATTTTAATGATATCTTAAATTTTTTAAATAATCAAAAGAATATCATCAAACTTTAAAAAAAAAAAAATAATAACTATTTTTATCATTAATTTTGTATAAAAATAGTTAATAATTTATTTTAAAATTATACTTAAATTTTCAAAAATAACATTAATACTCTAAATAAAAACATTAATACCAATTTTAAAAATTTTGAGAATATTAAAAAATAGTATATATTAATTTATGAGTAACAAAACCTTTTAAATGAAAAAAAAAATTAAGTTAAATCTTAATGAAAGTTTATGGCATTCCAATTGAGATTAGTGACAATTAGTGAAGAGGTGGACACAATGTTGAAGGCAGTCAAAGTTTGTGAAGACAATTAGTCCCAGCAAAGTGGAGGAGAAATAATAATGGATGCTTCTTCAAATTTTACTAATTCATTAAATAAACATCATAATGAATTTAAAAAAAAAAAAAAAAAAAAAAAAAGAGAGAGAGAGGCTATAATGTAGCATAGAACACCTATGAATTCATTGATTGGGTGTGCATAAAATATTATGATAGGAAAAAAAAAAAAAAATTCTTTTTTGGGTATAGATAATGAGTGTTGGGTTGGTGGGCAGTGGAGGCGAAGGGGCAGGAGGGGGCGCCCACACCGCTAACATTGGTGCTGTGCTGTGAATTGTTTAGGCAATTAAGTAAAGGTATGGGGCGCGGGCGGTGTTTCCGTTCCAATTGCCCCCCTAAACCCCCACTACCAATCATTCTCAATGACACGTTTGGTCTCCTTCTCTCTCCTCCATGCTTTTTCCTTCTCTCTCTCCTTCGTTCAACTACAGAGGAGAAGAAACGGCGTCGTCATCTCTTATTCAGTCAAAATCCATGACTGATGCCTCTGTTTTTGTCTCTGAATTAAACAACACAAGGAACACTGATCCATCAGTTTTTCAGACCCTGGTTTCTTCTTTTCAACCTTTTTCAACAAAACAAGACCCATAGGATTTGTCTCGGATCCATGGCATGGCTGCCTGCTGCCCTTTTTCCATGAATCCGAGCTGTTGGGAGTATAAGCAAAGGCAGCGTTTGAAGTCATTAATTGGTATGTCGGATGGTCCGAGGATTGCCCTCGTAAAGAACACAAGCCGAAATACTTCAATATATATATATATTGCATATATATAGTAACTTGCAAGATACTTCACCCATTTGTGTCCCAAACAAATCGACAAAATCATTTGAATGCTCTGTTTTGTGTTCTTTTAAATTTACTGGTTTCGTTCAGATTCAGATTGAGATATGGAAATATGAAGACGATGGATGATGGCAATCAAATAACACAATTTGTATAAACAGATACAAAGGGAAATCTCCCATTTTTTTTTTTTTTTCTCTGTTCCTTCAGACATAGTTGACAAAACCCCAAGAAAAAGGAAAGAAAAAAAAAAGGCGGCCTAATAATGACAGAGACACCGTTCCACCCATAAGGCCTATGCTCTCAATATCAGACCAAGTCTTCGTCTTTTTGGCTGTATCCTATCAGTCTATATTGTACTATCTATACCCAACAAACATTTACCGGCAGAAAATAAGAAAAACCCAGAAATTGAATAAGGAAGGTAAGATCCAGAAAGCCACTAAGAAGAAAGAAACAGAAAAAATGATGGAAATTAGAGAGCATTTGATTTTGGAACACGACGCAAAGCATTGAAATTGTTGTTGTTGTTGTGTGTCGTTATACTATATTACTTCAAGCTCTTGCCTTGCATGGAAATGGCAAGGTCTGGCCAACCCAGCAAATCACCGTCGACAACTCCGCCGTTGCCGCCGTCGCTGGCATTCATTTGCCACGTGTTGTAAGAAGACGTCTCCGGAGCCACAGCGGCGGAGTAGCTTCCGACGAGATCCCCAACTTCAGGGTAAGTGCAAGTCGTAGTACCCCACAATCCCCTGCCAAGAGCGAACCCCATATCGTCGAAAGTTGCAGGGGCATGACCCGACCCGGAGGCGGAGGCGTATCCGCCAAGAGCCAGGAATCCGGAGGCTTGGGAGCTGAGCAAAGAAGTGAAGGAGCCAGGGGCGGGCATGGTGTCGTTGAGATTAACATCAACGACATTGATGTCATTGTTGAGGGTGGGAGCGGGGAGAAGAGAAGCAGAGGAGGAGGAAGCAGAGGTGGAAGATGAAACAGAGGTGGAGGAGACAGAGACAGATACAGAGGAGGAAGTGTTGGTGTTGTTGATGTTGTGATAGCGAGAGCGCTTGGAGTTCTTGCGGGAGCCGCCTCCGACGGGGACGTCGCGGAGAGTGCCACCGTGGGTCCAGTAGCGGCGGCAGGACTTGCAGAAGTGGCGGGGCTGGGAGAGGTTGTAGTTGTTGTAGTAACAGAACTTGGTGTTGAGGGAGTCGCAGCGAGGGCAGGGGAGAGGGTCGGATTGGGGCGGGGGAGGGAAGGCCATGCTGTGTTGGGGCCTACTGCTTCTGTTGGCTGATTCCGACGGCATTGGGAGTGAATGAATGGGAATGGGTCAGACAGAGTTCAGAGTTCAGAACTCTCTCAGCTTCTCTCTCTCTCTAGAAAGAGACAGAAGATGGTGAAATGGGAATGGGGGGAGGTATGGGAGTGAGCTTAAAGAAAGTGAGGACATGGGGCTTTTATTTATTAATTTGTTTATTTTTATTTTTGGAAATAATCATCAAAATTAATGTTTTTGTAAGCTATTTGATTACATTATGAATGGAGTCAAAAAATGAGTTGGGAGAGAATAATGAATGTCGGTGAATGTGAAAGAAAGCAATAATGAGAGGTTGGATGGTGTGCGCCATTTCCTTTCTTCCCTTCTCCACCTTTGCATGCTCGCTCACATCCTAGGAATGATTGTCAACCAGGACACGGGTCCTAAAGGTAGATTACGAATTGGGATATGGATGAAATATAATGAAATAGAGTCATGGAACGAGGCATGGAACGGAGCCACTACGAAGAAGTTCCGGGAGTTACGAAGGAAACCTCGAGTTCATATTGGTCATGGATTGAGAATGAGAATTGAATTCTCTGAAACCTAATTTACCCTTGTTTCTCAGTAGCTCAGTGGTACAGCGGTCGGCTGTTAACTGATTGGTCGTAAGTTCGAATCCTACTTGGGGAGATTTGATTCATTTTGAATTTGAGTAGGGTAACCCGTTCCGTTCCCTATGTCTTTGTTTCTATTGCATTCTATCTCATCCCCGTGGAAGTGTCAGTTCCACTTGGGAACAAATCATTTTTACAAGAATATGAAAACTTTTACTAACATACTTATTTTAAAAATCTTAGAAGGAGCTCGGAAGAAAAAATTCAAATAAAACACAATTATATTGAATATTTGTACATTTACCGAATAGATTTCTAATTGGGATTTTTTTTTATGTGATAACCAACATTAATCTTTTTTTTTTCATTTATTAAATGACTAAATAATTATCTTTTTCTTTATATTAAATACACTCACAATTAATATAATTATGTATGAAAATGAAAATTTGAATATTTGAACTTTTAATGGTACTAATCTAGCTTTAATTTTGTGAAATCGAAAATTTAAAATTTAAAACTCAACTAAAATAGTTAAATATTTTAATTAATCAAAGTAAATACTTATATATTATATTTTAGCTGGTAACTGACATATGGGATAAAGATTTAAACTTTAGGGGCACTGAATTTAATATATTTGATGCATTGGATGGCTAGTAATTTAGTTCCATGAGTTGTGAATATAGCCCAAAATGGATTGATGGTAGCTCTAAAAGAAAACGAACCAGAAGTGGATAAAGAACACTTGGCCCATAAGTAGGCCCATCAAATTTTGACATCTAGAATGGAAGAAATAAATGTTTTAGTGTAGAAGTGGATAAAGATTCTAAATTCAGATGCAAAACATGAGAAAATAATATAAAATTAAGTGAGAAAATAATATTTTTAATCCAAATTAAGAATTTGCATGGAATATTTAGCCTAAAATTCTCTTTATTTATGTATATATAGTGACTGTATTTTGTGTGGATTAAGGGGAAGATTAAGCAGCATTGTGCTTGGAAGAAAAAGTCGTTCAGCTTCAAGAATGGCTTGGGAAGGGGCATCTGCATTAGCTTTTTCTCTGCGTCAGTGACTTGTCGTATCAGGACAAGAACTGGGTCGCTTCGTTTCTTTGCTTGAATTTTGGCTTCACTCTGTTAGTCATCACGGCAGCTCCATCTTCCTTCATATCTGAAAATTTCAAGTGTGGCTTCGAGGCTTTGGCAATCGGCGGCTGGCCCAGACTTGTTCTGCTGACACTTTTTTCTGGTAAGGGGGCACCCAGTTACTTTCTTGATCTTGATGCTTGCCAATTAGGATTTTCCTAGCAAAATTTGTAGTGGGTAGGTGTTGTTTCTTGGATCAATCGCTGGGGGGTTTACTTTCTCACTTCGTTATGTTGCTCTCTGAATCATTTCAGGTTCCATCTCCTGAGAAATGGATGAAGTAGGCGATTGTTCCAACAAATGGGCAGAAGATATTTATTGGAGCCATTTTCAGTTCATCCACTTCTATCAAACTCTTGCCGGTGGTTGTGAGCAGCAACTTGTAGGTTTTCTTTGATCTTCCCTTTTGTCATTTTCAAAACTGGGTTCTGCATTTTATGTTTGATTATGAATAGACATTAGGTCTTGTGTGCTGATAGGATGAAGAAGTTGTGAGTCTCCACGGTGTAATAAAAAAGTGACTCACGTGTCGAACAAATGATGTACTTTGTTCGAGAGCTTTAGAGAATGAGTCGAGTCTTGATTAAGGGGAGACTATTTTAGGACTCCATAGGCCTTAGGGGAGACTATATGGTGTACTTTGTTCGATAAGAGGATTGTTGGGAGAGAAGTTCCACATCAACTAATTAAAGGGTTGATCATGAGTTATAAGTAAGGAATACATCTTCATTGGTATGAGGCATTTTTGAAAAACTAAAAGCAAAGTTACGAGAACTTATGCTCAAAGTGGACAATATCATACCATGTTTAATGCACTCAGTGTCTTCTCTTAATGTTCTAAACTTGTGAGATCTCACCTCGGTTGGATAAAGGAAAAACATTTCTTATAAGGGTGTGGAGACCTTTCTTTAGCAGATGCACTTCAAAAACTTGAGAGAAAGCCCACAAGGAAAAACCCAAAAAATGACAATATTTTCTAACGGTGGGTTTGAGCTGTTACAAATAGTATCGGAGCCAGGCATCGGACGATGTGCCATTGAGGACGCTGGCCCCCCAAGGGAGGTGGATCGTGAGATCCCACATCGGTTGAAGAGAGGAAAAAAACATTCCTTCTAAGGGTGTGGAAACCTCTTCCTTTAGATGCGTTTTAAAATCTTGAGGTGGGGAAGTGCACAAGGGACGAAACATTCCTTAGAAGAGTGTGGAAACCTCTCTCTAGCAAACCATCTATTTATTTGGCGTGAAAATTGCATTAAAGAATCTTTTACAAGCTCTTCTAGAAACTTGGCAACTCAATATATACAATTTGAGCTGCAGGTAATTCCAAACAAATTTTGGAGCAATTTGAAAAATAAACTTCCATCATGGGATGTGACATTGTCTACCAATGATGATGAATTACATTTCAAAGGCGGCTGGCCAGAGTTTGTGAAGGCTCATTCTCTGGAGCTGAATGATCTCTTGGTTTTTAGGTACAATGGAGCGTCACAGTTTGATGTTTTGATATTTGATTGGAATAGCTTTTGTGAGAAGGAAACATCATATTTTGTAAAAATGTGCGAGCATATAAAGACTGACAGTGGCTACCAGGCTAAGAGGAAGTTTACAGAACCCTGCTTGGATGGCTTTGATGCTAATACTAACAATGGCGCTGAATGTGCTTCCTCTGAATATATCATTACTGATGACAATATAGAACGCATGATACAGGACGTTGGGTCCAAAGATACAAATTTTAGTGTTCAACCAGAGGCTTCCCCGGCTGAGCCTATACGAAGGATGCAAATTAGAGGGCAAAAAACTCCAAATGATGCAGTAATTATGACAGGTAGTTGGAGAAGAAGTTCTTTAAGCTTTTAATCCTTCATTCATATTGTTCCATGTTTTCTTCTGTTGACCTCAAAAATAGTGAATGAATAATGATGCTTTATAATTCTTTGTAACGTTTATGGATTAATAAGAAAAACTAGACTTATGAATCGATATGGTATCTAAGTGTGGACTTTGCCAGACTCCGACGTGGACACTACTCCCGTCAAGAAAACTGGGTCGTATGCTGAGTTTTACGTATCGAATCGGAAGGCTATTACTGAAGATGAGAAGAAGAATGCCCTGATGTTGGCGGATGCAGCAGCAAATGATGCTAGTTTCAAAGTTGTTATGCGACCTTCACATGTGTACAAGAGATTCTTTCTGGTAAAACTCATCTGTTGTAGAGATATCTTGTAGCTACTTACCAGTCCATCTCCAATATAGCTACTTATAAGGAATATTTCGTTCCCATCTCCAACCGATGTGGTATGTCACAATCCACCTCTTTGGGAAACTAAACATTTCTTATAAGAGTGTGAAAATCTCTTCGAGAAAGGCCAAAGAGGACAATATCTACTAGTGATAGGCTAGATTGTTACCGGAACGGTCAATAAAGTTTGGCAATGATTTTGTTGACTGAGCATGTTCATCAATTTTGCAGTTTCTCCCCAATCAATGGGTTACAAAAAGCACCCCCCTTCGCAACCAAGACGTAATACTGCGTATTGGAAAAGATGAATGGCCAGTCAGATTCAACTTCAACTCTAGGCGTCAATTTGGTGGCCTTACAAGTGGATGGAAACATTCTTCATAAGTAACAATTTAGAAGAATTTGACGTCTGCGTCTTTGAGCCTGTCACTAATCCAAGTGGTCCTCCTGTGGTTCTGGAGGTCAAAATCTTCCGCGTTGTTGAACATGTTGTCCCTCTCACTCGCATGCCATCAAACACCAACCAAATGCTAATCAAAGCACCTGAAGCCTAATGTGTGCCAAGTTCCCCAAATATTCAGTGCCTAATCTGTAAAACTCTGTAAACATATGATGTTCTGTGGCTGGGACTTGTCCTTTGCTGCCATTTAGTTGAGGCCATGCTAGTAGAATAACCTATTTATGAGCTTCGGAGTTTTAGCAGAGCCATATGTACTGATGATGGGGAACGATTTGAATATACAACAGAGTTGATGGTCTGAGAATCATATTCTTGATAAAAAGTTAGGCTCCATTATGACTGCATCTACACGAAAAACTCTGATTTTCATAAGTAAAAAACAGAGAGGGGATGGAAGATATGTCTATGAATCCCCGAGTGATGAGTGTATATTTGAAGTTTGAAGGCTCGCAGAGGTTGGGGTTCACGTGGGTTAGCCATTATTCAGACCAATACACAGAGGACAAAATGTAAATGTGGCAGACTATGGCTGGTGGGAAGGGATTATGCAGTCGACTCGGACTTGGTCATGTGCCAGCAATTCTTCCCCATCCTGGACGGTTCTTTCCTCACAAAGCTCCAATGGTAAATTATGACTAAGTTTTTGTACATATTCTGTGTGCAAGGAGTCGTGCTTGGTGGTGATGGCAG